AATCTCTCTCCCACACGTGAGCTGACAGCTCCAGGACAGCTCCGGGCCCTGCAGCCCCTAGACTTGGGGAAGCCAGAGACCCAAGAGGGGAGACCCACCCCAATCTCCAGCGAAGTCATTATGATGCAGCCAGCAGAGGAGCCGCTCTGGAGGGGCTTTCATTTCCGAAAGCCTGGGATGAGCTGGGAGGGAGATTGCACACAGATAGGGAGCCCTGGGGCCGCTGCTGTATTCAGCTGCGAGGCAACGGCGCAGCTTCTTAACCCTTGGTGGAGCTGGAGGCTGAGGAGGGTGGGGGGTGGGGGTGGCAGGCGGTGAGCCTGCAGTGGTGGGTTTGGAGCTGAGGTGGGGAGACTCTTTAATCCTCTTCTTAGTAAGAAACTGTTCTCATCTGGCACTTAAAGCAAAAGCTAAAGGCTTCCTCTGGGTTATACTTACTCCAGCCACACCCCTGGGAGGGTGCTGATCAGAACACCCCCACTTTACAGACGAGACGTGCAGGCCCACAGACAGCAACTAGGCAAGGGTGGCAGGATTTGACTTTGGAAGGGGAAACTTGAGGGTTCTGGGTGAGGCGTGTCAGGGGCCCGAACATCTTCCCGGCCTGGGTGGTCCCCGGGGCTTGCAGAAGAGGTCCCGTCCTCTCCCTCCGCTGTCTCCTCAGTGCACCCCAGGCACTGATGCCGGGGTGGACATGTGGGAGGGGACCAGCAGCCCGTGCCACTTTGTCATGCTGGCAGAAACCAGACTGCCCTCTGCGGGGGTTTTCTCTTGAGGGAGCGCCTTGCTGGTGCTAACTCTGGGCTGTTTATCTTTGGACAAAAGGGTCCTTGGGGAGACTTCTAGGGTTTATAGGGTTCAACCTAAGAAACTCTTATTCCAGCGGAAAGGTGCTGAAACCTACTCTTTCACGGGCAAGCTGGGCTAGCTCTGCTGAAACGGGGGACGGGGACCGAGTCTCCTGGGGGCTTAGGACTTAGGCCCACCTGCCACTCCTCACTAAATGGCGTCCGCAGCCTCCCTCTGGCCGTGGCTCCTTTCTCTGGGGTCATGTAAGCGTGACTGTGCAGGGACGCTTCGTGAGAAACTACTACTTGCCTTCCAAAGCATTTCATACTCCCATCAGCAATGTATGAGGGTTCTAGTTGCTCCATAACTTGCCAGAATTTGGTGTTTTCAGCAAGAAAAAGAAAAGTTGCAAAGCCTTTCTCACAGGTGTCTAGTCGTGGTTTTCATTTGCCTTTCCTTGAAGAGTAAAGCTGCCTGGGCGGTGTGCTTCCTGGGCCATCCATACGTATTTTGCAGAATGTCTATTCAAACATTTTGCCCATTTAAAAAAAAAATAGGTTTGCTTTCTTATTGAATTGCAAGAGTTCTTTATTCCAGAAATTTATATTTTTTTCTCCCAGTTTGTGGTATGCCATTTTTTTCTTTAAAGTTTTGGGTTTTGTGGGGTTCTTTTGAAGAGTCAGGTTTTTTTTATTGAAGTTCAGACTGTTTTCTCCAGCCCCTGGCAACCGCTTATCTTACTTTTTGCAATGTAGTTTTTTCAAGTATTTTCTTTAAATTTTATGAGAGAGGGCCCTGATTAGCCCTTACTCCAAGACAAATTTATCTGTCCTCCTACTGCATGGCTGTTGTGGGAAATCTACTGAAATTCCCAAGAGTCCATTTCTGATTGGTTGGAACTTAAACATCCCCCAATTATTTGTGGGTCCCTGTATTCTTTACCTGGCCTTAGGAAGTCGCACTCTAAATGTGCAGTCTAGCTTTCAGTGGAAGACTGCAGGGGTGCCTAGCAAGTTTCTAGAGCCCTCTCTGAACGGCTCCCTCTCCTGACACCCTGCTCCCCAAGTCCCAGTCAGCGCTCTCTTCCCAACGCTTGCTCCTCTTCTCAGTTCAGCAACACCATCATAGACTTCTCCTTCCCTGCACTGTGATCCACAAATGACCCCTGGCAGAAAGCTGGGGTGACTGCAGAACTCATTTATCCTCTTGTCTGATGGTGTGATGCCACCATTCTGGTACCAGTTATGCCAACGTGTCTGGCGTCAAAATTCAGTCCATTTCTTTTGGGCTCGATAATATCTTGTTCCTTGCTTGTTTTCAGTTTTTAAAAAAATGTTGCAGAATGCAACCCCACAAAAGGGGAGGAGCATCACAGTGCAGTGGCCCCAAGTTTGGGCACATTTTCCCTGCCCCAACTTAAGCGGTCACGTTGGAGCACAATCCCCAGCAGGCCATGAACCAGACTTCTGGAAGGGGGGCAGTTGGGGAGGAGCACGGTGGATACATGAAGTGAGGTGGGCTGAAGGAGGAGAGACATCTAGAACAGAGACTCGTGGGTGAGATCTGTGGAGAAGCGGCTGGTCCTGGGACTTACGCATTTTGGCAGAGACAACAGCAGCGATGACACGGCCCTCCGACTGGAGTCTCTGGTACGTTTTGCATTCTGGATCTCCTCTGCCGACCCAGCTTCCTGGTATCTGCCTAGCCCCTTTCCGCTGTGACTTGGTATATGCCTTGGACTTGTTCTGGGCCTCAGCCGACCCGCTCTGGGAGCAGCCTGCTTGGCTGGGCATTTGTCCTCAAGGAAATTTTTGGAGTTTGATTGGGAATCTGTTATTTGAAATCTTTTCTTCTCTCTCCTCCACTTTCACCAAAGATATTGTTGAATATACTTAGTCTGTTTTCTTTGCCTTTGTGCACACAGATGCACAGACCCTTTTTAGACCCTTTTAGAAAATGCAAAATGGGTTATTCCCCTTAGCAGTCTGGGGTCCCTGGGTACCCCAAGGTCCCATGGTTACAAAATTATACATTAAAGACATATTCCTGGGCCTCCCCTGGTGGCGCAGCGGTTGAGCGCTGGGCTGCAAGGCTGCCTGCAGCCTCTGCAGCGCCGGTTTGATTCCCGGTCACCTGCGAGGGTCCCACATGGCGCGCAGATCTCTCCTGCCGTGCCCGCTGCTCCCCTCAGCAGCGTACTTCGGTCCTTCTGCCTGTTCTGCTCCCCACTCTGGCTCTGGTGAATTCTCTAGCCCTCCTGTGCTTCTGACTGTACCCTGTGCTTGTATAAATAAATAAATAAATAAATCTTAAAAAAAAAAAAAAAAGACATATTCCTTTTATATTGTGTCTGAAAACTCTAATCTCCAAAGTCTTGGATATTGACTTTAACATAGGAGGTTTGTTTTAGTTTGTTTTGGTTTGTATTTTAAAATTTTGGATTGTGAGCTCATGTTCACAAGGGTTACCTCTATGGGACTCCTGTGGGATACTGTTTGGGAGTGAGCATCTTTAGGAAGGGCTTCTGCGTGCCCCTGTCAGGCATCCTGGGGATGCTACTGAGTTTCCCAGATTTCTTAGAGGTGGCCACGCACTTCCCTGCTGGGATGGCTAGTACACAAAACGAGGTTTCAATTAGACTTACCCTGTAGGCTCTGGCTCTAACTTCACCTCACCTCCCCTAAGAAGATTCCAAAAATCTGAGGCCTAGATAGAGGAGAGGGCTACTCCATGGATAGCAAAGATTGGTAGTTAACTGATAAGTGGTTGTCTGAATCTTGCACTGAAGATGGCATCTTCTGAGGTATCACGGGTCCAGAGTGCTGTGATTGATTACTAATGCCTGCAGGATCCTGGGGTGAAGCGGCAGGAGTTTGCGTCTCATGTGTCTGTCATCTCTGGAGATCACACATTTCTGTGTTAGAAAGCTTTGGCCTTCCTTCTATCTGAGGAAGAGTATGGCAGGAGCTTGAAGGAAAAATCCAGCTATTCTCATCAGACAAGTTGTGACTTTCTTTGATAAATGTGTGCCTTCCCATCATGCAATGTTTGATGGGGGGCACTGCTGGAGCGTAAAGCTTATCCAACTCTCCTGGCATCTCCATGAGGGTGGCAGCTTCCCCTTTTCTCCCTCTTTGGCATCTCCATGAGGGTGGCAGCTTCCCCTTTTCTCCCTCTTTCTCAGGGAACAATTTGATTATGCAGCACTGGATAGTCCCTGGACCTCATTCCACCAGTGGGAGGTGTCCCTGTTCCTATTAGGTCACTTTGGGCTCCATTTCAGTGTGGGGGAACAGCCTCGGGAGGACCAGGTCCTGTCCTCTAGAAATATCTGTGCACCCCATGCTACAGCCATTGCGGTGTGTGCAGACTGACCGGCACAGCTGAGCAGGTAGGCCCAAAGGGCGGATTTAGGGTGGACGGTAAGAGGGTGAGCTGATGTCTCCATTCTAGCCTTTACCAGAGTCCTGCCTGAGGGGCTGAAGGGTGCCTGCATGCAGGACAGAAGTGGGACTTGCTTCCCCTTTCCTTCCAGTCCGTGTGCATCCTTGTGTTCAAGAGGGGAGAAGTGGTTAGATGCCCAGGGCTACTAACAAATATCAGGACCTTTGGTATCAAAGGATTCTGGTCTTACATAGCAAGTCATTTCAAATCTACTCTAGGGGGACAGATGTAAGATTCAGAAATGGTCTTTTTTGAACAAAGGATAAAAAGTGAACCTCAAGAAATTCCGATTGAAACAGCATCTATTTCAAAAGGCACACAAGCAATGCAGAGCACATCCAGGTGCTGCCCTTGGAGCGGGGCCTGAAGTGTCCTCAGGTTTGGGGAACGAGGCAGATTCTCTGGGGCTCGCGCTCTGCTCCTGGGAAATGACTCTTGGGAGCAACTGTTGCGCCTGCCCCTGCGCCAGGGAGGAGTTGGCACACCCCTGCCGCTTCTCTGGACCCTTGGTGCTGGGGAGGCCTCTTCAGGCCTATGAGCTCAGCGTCTAAGTCACCAAAGGGCACTGGGCTCATGGGGATGTCAGCCTGTTGGGGGGTCACAGGAGTGCTGGCTCCCGGTGCCACCAAAGAGTCCTTTGGAGTGGCCTGTCACTACCCTTTTCCATTCTGACTCCATGGCCCTCTCCTCATTCCAGTCTTTTATTCTTTCTTCCTCTCCTCCCCCAGCCCTCCCATCCCCTTCCCCCCACCCCCCTGCTTCCAGGGGCTCCTTTGTCATCACTCTCCCTTCTCAACCGCTCCCCCATCTCTCAAGGGCCTGCCCGTCTCAGTCTCCCCCTCTGCTCTCTCTTACCCTCTTCCAACTGGGCCGGAACCAGAGTCCTCCTCCACCCAGTGAGGTGCCGCCACAGACGTCCCTAGGGGTCAGTACACCTTTCAGCTGGTTCCCCTGGGAGCTAGACAGCCATTTTCTTAGAAGTACGAGATTCTCAGGCCTACATCGCTGGCCACAGAGAAAGCTCTGGGTAGCAGAACCAAGTCTCCAAAGACTCGGCCTAATCCAGGGCTGCCCGGCCTCTGGCCTCACAGGAGCCAGCCTGTCCCATGCCTCACCCAGACCTGGAGGCAGCTTGTTTATTGTGCAGAGGCTGGGGGAGAGGGGGTGGGAGGTGGGGGCGGGGCGGCCAGCTAGTCCTGACACTAGGCGGCTGGGGGCAGCGTCACTTCTTGGAGGGCAGCTTCTTCAAGTTGACTGTCTTCTTGCTGAACCTCCTGAATTTGTTGAGAGGATGTATATCCTCTTCGGACACTTTCATTCTAAAAATCCAATAGAGAGAAACAAACACTGGGGGGCAGGGGTTGGCGGTTGGGGCGGGGGGGGGGGGCGCGGTGGGGACTGATCTGAGCCCTGGCTGGGGGCTGGGGCTGCGAAGAGCATGGCCTGCTCTGGGCGCCAGCTCAGAGCAGGTACTGCTCTCCGGGCACTGTTCCAATCTGAGGTGGGGGGCGAGGGGGCTCCCATCTGCACCCATCTGTGACCTTTCAAGGTGTGCACAGCTCAGCTTTTCTGTCTCCGCGAGAAATGCGCGGCTTAGCCCACGCAGCCCGCTTCACAGTTAGGTGGGCAGCTGGTGGGGTTCTGACAGGCCTAGCAAGTTCCTTGCAGAGAGACAGGGGGCAGTCTCCACCCTTCACGCACATCTGGGCCATGGGGTTTCACTGCCAAGTTTACAAAATGCGTCAACCTCCACCGCCCAGACTACTGGCAGTGCTCTCAGGAGCAGCTTGGACTTCCCTCTGGACAGTGCTGACTGACAACATGGATTATCAGGACTCCCTAGGGGTCCGTGGTTTGCTGGAAGCTGTGAAGACACATGTGACCTCTGTGACCTGTGGTGGAGCCAGGGGCATGCCATGAATCACATCCCTTCTGCTGACCACAGGAGGCCCCCTCAGGCAGGGTTGGGGTGGTCACCTACTTCTCAGGTTCAGGAGAGGGGTCCCTCTCCATTTTGTCCCACAGAGCTAATGAGGAGAAGCTTCCTTGGATGTCTCCCGACTTTGACTTCTTGACCAGGTCAGGGTCTTCTGGGCCAGAAGTGGAGGCTGAAATGCTGCAGGGAGGGGAGGGCAGCGCTCAGTGGGGGCTCATCAGAAGGACCCCAGAGCTGGCGGGTGGGTACACAGCCCTCACTTTCTGCTGCCCCTTCAATGTTGTGGTTGTAGAAAGAAGAGGGCAGGAACTCCTCCTTGAGAGGTGGCGTGAAGGGAGAACCAGACCCCACTGGAGACCCAGGGACTGACTTCCTGGAGGTGGTCGGCTTCTCTGGTTCTGTTCTAGGCTGGATTTGCCGACTCTGTCAGTGACACCAGTACACCCAGCACTGACCCCCCAAAAGGGGGCGGTGGGCTCCATGAAACGAGCAGAGGAAAGCAGGCCAAGGAGACAGGTCACCATGCACAGTGCTCTGGGCTGAATCATGTTCCCGCAAATTCACACATTCGAGTCCTGACCCCCAGTTGTCCAGAATGTGACCTTATTTGGAATTAGGGTCATTGCAGACTTAACGTGTAAAGTGAAGTCATAGGGCATAAGCCTACGGTAATCAAAACACCTTGGCATTGGAAGAAAAATAGACACACAGACCAATGACCTGGAATTGAGAGCCCAGAAGCAGCCCACACTTACACGGACAGTTAATCCACAACGGGAGAGCCGAGTGTACGATGAGAAGGAAAGTCTTCAACAAATCGTGCTGGGAAAAACTGAACAGTCACATGCAGAGAACTGATACTAGACCACTCGCTCACACCAGATACAAAAATTAAATGACATTTAATGAAAATAAAAAATGACAAGCCATCCTACTGAGCGGGAGAAAATATTTGCATATCACACATTGGACAAGGGGCTAACATTCAAGGCCTAGAAAGAACTCAACCAAGTCAACAAAAAGAAAACAAATACAACCCAAAAAAATAGGCAGGGGCGCTAAACAGACAATTCTCCAAAGAAGACATACAGGTGGACAACAGGCACGTGAAAAAATATTCATCACTTCTCAGGGAAATGCAAATCAAAACCACAGTGAGATCCCACTCACACCCGTGAGAATGGCCCATGTCAAAAAGACCACAAACAGCACATGCTGGCGAGGGTGGAGAAAAAGGAACCCCTGGATGCTGTTGAGGGGGATGTAGGCTGACCCAGCCCCTCTGGAAAACAGTATGGGGGTTCCTCACAATATTAACAATAGATCTACCAGATGATCCAGCAATTCTTCTCCTTGATATTTACCCAAAGAATGTACAAAAGCTAATTGGAAGGGCTTTCTGCACACCTGTGTTCACCACAGCACTATCTCCAGCAGCCGACTATGGGAATAACCTAAGTGCCCAAGGACGGAGGAGTCAAGACGTGGATACTATGCAGCTACAGAAGGAGATGAAACACTGTCATCCGAGACAACACGGGCAGAGCTGGAGAGGGTGATGCTAAGTGAAATAAGTCAGAGGAAGAAAGACAAATACTGGATGATTTCACTCACATGTGGCACATCAAGAAACAAAACAAAGGAATAGACAGAATTAAGCCCAAATCGTAGAAATCGACTGTAGAACTGAGGCTACCAGAGGGGCGGGAGGATGGGGGAACAAGGGAGAGGAGCCCAAGGGGGCAGGGCGAAGACTGTGGGCGGCTTTGGTGGAGGGTATGGTGACACACATCTGGAGGTGTGAGCCTGTTCTAAATCATGCAGTGTTCTGACAAGGGCAGAGGAGCACAGGCTTGCTGAAGGGGGCATGCCGTGAGTTCACAGCAGCCAGGCCGGTCCTTCAGTCCTCTCTTCATGAGGGCCCCTCCCCTCATCTGGAAGGCCTAGGAACATTAAAAGTACTAACAAGGGCCGAGAATCTGGGTACATTCACAGTGTTTGCATTCAGCAAATTGATGCCAGCCCCACCTCGCGCTGGCCCCACTGGAAGAGCACATGGTCCACGTGTCCTTCGTGTTTGGAGACCAGAGCAAAGGCCTATCGGAGGCCCTATGAGAAGTCAGGGCCTCGGGTGGCTTGTGGAGGTGACTGAGCTGAGCCCAGGCTGCTGGTGTCCATCAGAGGGCAGGGGTTGGGGAGGGGGCTGCGGGGGGGGGTGACTTGCCAGAGTGGATGGGGAGGAGGTCCATGGGCTCTCTGGGTGGCGTGGGGTGCCTTGGGAATGCAGGGGGAAAGGCCCAGAAAGAACGGTTCCCCTAAATCTCTTCCCTCGCTCGCTCGCAGCACAGTATTCGCTAAACAAAGTCTCCAAGTGAGGCTTTAGAAAAAGCGCAGGCATCCGGCCTTGAGCTCACAGCCAGCTTCTCAGTCTCAACATGGCCCCTGCAAGGGCCAGCCTCACACCGTCTCACCCAGTGTCCACACTGCTTCCCGAGGCTTGTCTTCCTGGCCTGTCCTCTCTCCTGATCAACTCAGTCCATCCTCCACAGGCGTGGCCCGAACCCCCCAGAGCTGTGTGCAGCTCCTTGTCCATCAGGATCTGGCTCTAAACCACTGCTGTGTTTTTCTAACAGCCCTTCTTGGCAGTCCCTGCCAAATCTACAACTAGCCTGTTTCCTGGTCCCCAAAGTGGGCCATGCCGGTGCCTCACCTAATCCCCCCAGGGGGGCCTATGTCCCCCTCCTTTCTGCCAGGCCTTATGCTCATCCTTCAAGGCCACCTCCTGAGGGACCCTGTCCCTGAGCTCTCGCAGGAGTGACTTCCCTCCACTGCTTATTATTGATAGATGCATGGTTCACAGCTCTGGGAATCTGCCTCTGCTCACCGGAAGGGAGGACTTGACTGTAGCAACTTGGCATGGCTGAAGCTGCTCTGAGTCAGTAAATGAATGAAAACGCATGATGGGATGTCACGGGGATGAGAATGACCAGGCTCGTGACCACCCTCCTGGGTCACAGGAACATTCCTGCTGCTGCCCATAGTGGGCCAGGGACTTCCGGAAAAAAATGATCCAGAATCGGATACCAAGACCGTCCTTAGTCAGGGATAAGTAGAAATGGCCATCTGGGAGTTGTAAAGGCCAGCCACCTCCAGCAATTAAAAAAAACCTTGGTACTCCTTCCTCGAAAGGAAAGTAGCCGTGGAGCACGCCCTTAGGGAGTGAAGCTCACCTCCTGCGGCATGGAAGCCCCTGCTCCACTTCGCTCTCCCCCAGAGCGGGTTCAGATCCCCGGTGCAGAAAGAGCTGGCTTGAAAACCGTCCACACTCATACTGCCTGCAGCTGTGACACCCCAGTTAGCCCCAGCAGCCGGCAACCAAACAGGCTACCCAGAATCAAGGGGAACCCACCCCTTTCCGTTCTCAAGAACCTCGGCTGTCTGTGCGTGGGGGTAGTTTTCTGATTCTTTCCCCATCACTCCTCAAAACTTGTGGAAACTGGCACGATCACAGAACCCCTGGCGAGAACAAGCCACGAGCCCAGCGCTCATTTTCATAACTGTAACAATAGCACGAGCAAGGGCAGCTGTGCCCACTCAGCCAACCTGAGCTGTCGGAGAGCCGCTGCCTCTGCCTCACCCAGGCCTCGGAGTCCAGTCCCAACACCGCTCGCTCTGGCTTCCAAGCTGAGGTGTGTCCTGGCCACGTGGCTAGGAAGGGGGCCACACTCCTCTCTCCCGGCCCCTTGCCTGTCCCAGCCGCAGGCTGCCCTGTCCCGTTAAAGGGACATTGAGGGTAGAGGGAGTCAGATAAGAGCTGCCTCTTTCCTTGAGCCAGTTTTGCACCCCTCGCTCCCCAATAATGTCCCCAAGCGGAGGCCCCTGCTGCTGCACATTTCTGAGGCCCCTGCTGCTGCCCCGCCATCCCGCACGTCACTCACCTTCGGTATCCCGGTCTGTCTCTGTTTCTCTCGTAGAGCCGAGGAGCCCAGCGGCCCCTTCCCTGGGATGATATGCTTCTGACCTTCCTCTCCGCCCTGCAGGGCCTGACCCTCCTAATTCCAGGGACACCTCCCAGGCCTGCTCTCTCTAGGAATTGCTTCAATGTGGGGGTCACAGTACGGCCTTCAGAGCTCCTCCAAGTGTGGAGTTCCCCCAAACCTCGTTAGAGTCAGCGAGACACTCTGACAAGGCCCAAACTCAGCACACAGGGACGGGCATCTAGAAAACTGGCAGCCTGGTGAAGTAGAGGGCTGCCCTGCCTCAGTGCTGGTGGGGCAGGCACACAAACTCACACCTTCCGCAGGTAAAGACCTCCCTCCCCCCCTTCCCCTCCCCTCCCCCCTTAGCTCCCCCCTTTGTGTTTATAAAGCACATCTGCAAACCCTCCATTAGCACCTCAGGACCACCCTGCCAGGTGGGGATTATTACCTTCCTCTTAAGGGTCAAGAGAGTGAGAACTGGGGAGGCAAACTGGTAAAGAGCAGAGTGGGGGTGGGGGTGGGTGCTTCAGCTCAAGGGACCCCCAACCCAGTGAGTTTTCACACCATACCGCCCAGGTTTTCTACAATCTGCTTCTATTTCCAAATACAGCTTTTAGTAACTTCCTAAACCTCAGGCTCTTCCCTGGACCATACTGTGGGCTTCCTGAGCGGAGACGCGCCTTAGCCCATCTCCCCGTGCTGGGCTCAGCAGGTGCTACTGCCTGACTTAATAGCACTTCAGCGCCCCACCCCATTCCTTCTCCAAGCCCAGCACCACTTGGTGAGCCACCCCTTTCTCTGCAGCCCCGCTGGTGGAGTAGCAGTAGCCTGGGGCGCGTACAGGATGGGGTGGGGTGGGGCAAAAGGCAGTTTTCCCCTTTCTCTAAGGGGGGCCTTTCCCCAAGCTTGCGTCCCCCTCACCCTTCCACCTCATGCCAACCCCATTCCCATTCTCCCCTGAGAGCTGCAAGGTCTTGAGTCAGATTCCACCAGGCAGACTGACTGGATTGCAGGTTGAGGCCAGCTCCCCAACTCTGCTACCTCTTCACCTCCCTCTCTCCCACTCACCCCAAGTCTCTACTTTACCTAAATTTGTAGTCCTCAGGCAGGAAGTAGCCCATTTTACAGTCCTGTCGAGCCCGAAAGATCTGTTTCAGCAGGTTCTGCCGGCTGTAGCCATAGCCATTCAGAATGCAGCCCCCGAAAAGGAGCTTCCCCGCGGCAAACATCTGTGGACAGACAGGAAGGAACCAGACGCCAAGGCCCTCAGCATATCGGCATATCTGAGGGCTGCAGACCCTCAGAGCTTGCATGAAAATCCAGGCCTTTCATTGGTGATTTCAGGAAGGGGTACTGCCTCCCTGAGTCGGCAGTGAGGTGTGGCTGTCCCTTGCAGGCCCCCCACAAGTCAGAGGGTATCCCTGCCCTCTCACCCTTTACCCCCTGCCAGCTGGACCAGCTCGCCCAAGTCCTCCCAGACCCCTGGAGCCCAAAGAGTATCTTCCTGCTCAGAGGGCTCCACGAAGCCCGTCTGTAGCCCCCACGCACCAGCCTCCCACACTGGCGATTGCACCAGGAGACAGAGGCGATCCGCGGCAGCCCCCGCCCCTGGCCCGTGCTCACCAGAATCATGCCCTGCAGCACAGCATACTTCTCCACCAGCAGGGGCGGGTCCCTCTGCAGGGGGCCGTCCAGGTCATAGTGTAGCAGGCGGTAGGGGTCACGCCGGCACTGCGGCAGAGAAACTGAGTGTCCCCCTCCTCTGCCAAGGCACACTTGACCCCACAGTCTCAGGCCCAGTTCCACCGATGCCTGGAGCCCCAAGCAACCCCCTTTCCAGGTCCTGTTCAGTGTACACACTGTGTGCCCACCGCCCCAGAGAAAGTTCTCAGGTCCATTCAGGGCCTCCGTGGTGAAGGCCATCATGGAGATGATTGCCCCACAGTGGACATCTGCCAGTGCGGCCCTCTGGGGTCCACAGGACCAACTGCTCTTGGCCTGGGAACAGCCCTGCGGAACCTAAAGGAGGGAACCGTGCTCCTGAGTGCACCCATTTCTGGGATCCCTCTGCCTCCCGATACCCACTCCTCCATCCACTTCAACTGCCCCTGCCAAGCAGGTCCTGTCCCCTGCATGCTGCGCGTGGCTAGGTGGGACCACTGTGCATTACCATTGTTCCGGAATGGTAGTGAGTGACAGTTAACAGCCCCCAGATAAACTGAAGTCAACCCTAAATTCCCACATGGGCAGTGATTATATCTCCCTTCACACAGACTGAAACTGAGTCTTATTCAACGGGAGCTTGACTCCAGGAAACACAGGCAGTTTTCATGCATGACACTAGTACAAAGCCTTCGGGGTCTGGTGGGAGGGTTCTAAATGGCACGCCCTGGCACTGGCTGAGTGCAGGCCCAAAGGTGGGCCTGCGAGGGTCAGGAGGTGGTACTTCTGGGAGGAGGGCTGGAGAGGGCTTCTCCAGGGCATACAAGGAAACTCGGAATGAGGGACTGTGGCTGCATGCAGACAGGGCAAAGACAGAGGACTCGGAGTTCACCAGGGCCGAGAGGATTTGGAGCAAGTCAGGGGGTGGACATGAAGCTTGTGTGCTCTCTCGGCACCCTCTGCTCCTTGGTCTGGGGCCCTGGCTTCCCACCACACTGTGCTGACCATCAGGATGTCTGTTGACCCGGGCGATGAGACTTAGGAATAAATCTGTAGCAAGTCGTGGGAGTGGCATCCATGCACCCCTGACTGACCAACCCTTAGGACTTCAACCACAATGAATTGGGCCTCAAGAAGCACCCCCTTCTCCCCATCCACAGGTCACTGCCTCTGCAGGAACACCTCCCACCTCCAAGACCCTCCCATCCTGAGAAACCTTCCCCGACCCTGAGAGGGGGCAGACCCCATTCCTAGGTTCACAAAGGCCAGAGTTACCTGTACATTGGGACCTGCTATAGTCGCTGCCCCCCAGGCAGGGATCCCCTCTGAGGCCCTGCACAAGACTGATGCACAGCAGGGACTTGGTCATGGTCTAGAATATTGCTGAGCCTAAGGACACAGTGGTGAGCATGGTCTCCGCTCTAACACTCACAAGTTGTGGCAAGTGCTCTAGAAGGAAAGGCCCTGTCTGCATGCTCTAGAGAAAGGCCCTGCCTTGTGGGGCATTCATCCTGGGACAGGAGGCTGAGCAGGAGCAGGCTGAGACAGAAGGAATAGCGTGTGCCAGGACCCACGTCCTGAGTACAAGGGGCAGCCACTCAGCCAGATGCTCGGCCAGGCCTAACGTCCCTCTGAGGCATCTCCCAACCAGCCTCCCCATTCCTGGACCTGAGGTACTCCTGAACTGGGGCTCGGACCCACCTGGATGCAGGGTGAGCCACGACCCTGCTGCCGGTGACTGTAGAGGGTGTCCAGCAGCCATTGGAGCTGTACTGTCATGGTGGGGTTCTGGCTTGAGATTATGCCAAACACTAGGATCTGATTGGGGTCTCGGGGTGCAGCCAGGAAGCGCTCGAACTCCACATCAGAGACCTGGGGCGGCTTCACTAGGCACTTGCAGCCTGCCCTGGTGTCTTCCTTGCGGATGAGCTTCCGCAGCACCAGCGGGCAGTCAGAGGGTGGCGCCGCCCACCTGATGGGGCTGCGGGGCGCTTCTCGGGCCTTCCTGCTGGCGGGTAGATGGAGCAAGTGGGTGGGGTGCTCAGGGACCATACTTCTCCTCCCCAGGCCACTCCAGACAGACAAAGGGTCAGGTCCATACATGGTGTTGCTGCCAACTCACAGGCCGCTCCCCTTATATGGGTCTCCTGAGCTCTGGACCTCAGTTTCCTCAAGTGCAAAATGGGAAATCATTCATTCACTCATCCACTTAGCTGACACAAACTTTGGAGTCATTTTAAATCCTTTCTTTTGTCCTCTATATCCCATCCTCTATGAGCTAGCCTGTCAGCTTCACATTCAGGAAAGATCTAAAATCCAACCACATTTCCTGCCCCTTACTCCATCCTACTAGCTCCAAAGGTCCATGCGTTCATGAGTTTGGAGTGTTTTGCTCAGTGGAGTGAATTGTAGCCTACGGCAGAGAATAAAGATTCAGTAGAGATTCACTAACTATTCAAACCAGCAATACAAAGTACAAATGTGTCCACAACCACTGGCACAGAAGTGGCTGTGGCTAATTCTGTGGCAATCTGTGTAATCCACTGGGCAGAAACTATCCTCACTTCTACAGGTCACAGAGCAGAAAGGTCTCATCAGTCTGTGGGGTGGCTGCTCAAGTTCACACGGTCACTAAGTGCCATCCTGAGACCAGAGAGTTACCACTCTTAATTTTCCTGAGGCTATTTAATACTAATAAGTACTTGCTAAACAACTTAATGTCTCTTAGTCAAAAGCCTGAACATCTGGGGAGGGGACCTATTAGATCCCCCAATAGATTGGAGCTATTAATCAAACTTTTCTGAGGACCAATCCAATATGGATCAAGGATCTAAATATGGGAAAATTAAGCCACAAAGTTCTAGTAGAAGATATGGGAGAATCATAATTTTGGATCAGAGAAGAACTTTTGTAATTATGACTCTGAAGTTGAAGTCAGTATAGAAAAAGATTGCTAATTCAACCACACACAAAAAACCAGCAACATCAACAACAAAAACCTGAAGGGGAAACGCTCACGGGCAAAGAGGAAAGACCAGTGACAGGCGGGGAAACACAGACAAGTGACCAAGTTCCTTCCTGAAGAAACGGTAAATGAATTTTAAAAGTTAGTGACCAAAAAAATTACGGGTTATTTACACAATTCGCAGAAAAAAAGATGCAATTCACAGAAAATGATAGAGAAATTATTTTTTACTATAAAGAGATCGGAGGTGATGTCACTGAAAGCGGCCAAGCAGGGAACTCCAAAACCATGTCCCCTCCAACACGGCAATGCTGCTGGCAAAAAACCGGGAGAAGCGACTTTGTGCACACCCTGGATCTAACAACAGAACTCATGACAAGGCGGGGAGGCTCCCCAGGAAAGGAACGTGTTGGGTTAGTTCTCGTGTTGGGTTAGTTCTCGTGTTGGGTTAGTTCTCGCCTGCTTGCTTGCAGTGCCACAGGGAGCACAGCCTTCATTCCTGGTGTGGCCGGCTGGTACCAAAGACGGCGAATGGATTCTGTTCTCAAGGAACTGGGGCTGTGTGGCTGATAGGTCTGGAGGCTCTGAGGGGGGGCGAGAGAGCAGAGCCAGGGCACAGCTGGGCTTCCCACTCAGCCTGTGCTGGTCAGTGCCCTGGGTCAGCTCCTGGGGCAGGAAGAAGGTCAGGAAAGGGGAGGGGCCTTGGCAGTCTCTGTTCACCCTGTCGCTTCCACAGAGGGAGTGCTGTCACCAGGTTTTCCACAAGCTTCCCTGCCATGTTGCCAGTGGCCTCAGGGAAACCCAAAGTGCAGGTGGGCGCTCTGGTGTCACAGGCACACAGACCTACAGCAACTTCCTCTTGCCCCACAGGTGCTCCTTGGTACCTGGGATCACACAAGTACCCTCCTGCACAGGGCAGTGACACTCACAGTCTAATGAGCACTTTTGAACCTCGAATAGTCTTTGCTCTTCATGGGCACCTGGGAGGGCACACAGGGAGAAGAGAGACAGGGCAGGAATTATTAAACCCATTAGACAGTTGAGAAAACTGAGTTCTGAGAGTTTGGGTTACTTAGGCAAGAAGGTCTGTTCCTAAATCACTGTGTGAGCTCGGTTACTTCTGGCTGCCTCAGGGCTTTGGACTATGCTCTATGATGCAAGGAGACTGAGCTTTAGGAGTTAGGAGTAAAGAAGAAAAGGCCTCAAAGGCCCAATGAACGGCCCAAAGGAAACTCTGGGTGATTCCTGAGGGCTCCCAGCCGGCCGGAATCCCTGCTCACAAAGGCACCAAGGCACATTGGCGGGTGAAGGGGCCATGTCTATGACTGGACAAGTATCCTCACCTGACTCCTCACGAAGTGCCTTCCCCGCACCCGTCCCCCTCCAGTTAATGGCACCATCATCATTCAGTTATTTAAGCCAAACCCTAAAAGACACCCATAATACTTCTCTTTCCATTACCCTACAGCATCTGTCAGTCGGCGAGGTTGGCCATGCTTCCAAACCCTGTCACAAACACGTCCAATCTCTTCCTCCTGCCACTGCCTTGTCAGCTCATCATCAGCCCCATAGCTGCTGTGATCCCGCTCTTTCCACCCTGAAACCATCTTCCCACAGCCGTCAGAGAGGTCCCACTTCTGACAGTGGCTGACTGGGGTGTCTTAGAACATACCCCCTTCTGAGAAAATGGAAAAACACTCAACAAAGCAGAATCTTAAAAACCTATTTAAACGTATTAGAGATTTCACAAGTCAGTAAAAATTTGGAGGATCAGGATGAGGAAGAAGAGTGAAACCAAGGACAAGTGTGATCTTGAGGACAGCTTTCTCCTCAAGGCAAACGCTGATTCTGAAAATGCAACACGGATGTGAAATACCAGCAAACCAAACCTAGCAATAAATGAAAATGAAACATCAAAACCGAGTGACATTTGTGTTGGGAATATAAGGCTGATTGAACATTTCAAATTCAATCACGCAATTCCCGGTAATAGCAGAGTAAAGGGGAAATCATCTGTTCATCTCAACAAATACAGAAGAGGTATTTGATCAAATTTAATATCCATTCATGATTTTTAAAAAGCTCCCAGCAGGCTAGAAATAAAAGGGCACTTCTTTAATAAAAGGACTCTCCAAAAATATCCTACAGATTGATAGTAATACACTGAAAATTTTCACTCTAAGATGAGAATTTATAGAACTAAATACCTATGTGTCAGAAAATAAGGCCTCAAACCAATAACTGAAGCTTAAAACTTAAGACACTAGAGAAAGAAGTTAAACAAAACAAGCAGAAGGAAGATAAAAATAAAGAGTGGCAGTAGTGGGAGTGAAAACAGAAAAGAGAGACAGTCAAGGAGACCAAGAAGCTGACTCCTTGAAAAGATAAAAATTTGACAGAACTGTAGCCAGACTGTAGCCAGAACTGACCACCACAAAAAAGAGGAGACATTACTTGCCCATGTCAGAAGTGAGAGAGGTGCTGTCACTACAGGCCACGCAGACATTACGAAAGGCAAGGGGACACTGTCGACAATTCTGTGTGTAGAAAATCAAGAACTTAGAAGACAAGGGTCAATTTCCTTAAAGACACAAACTGCCAAAATTCACTTGAGAAAAACAAATGGCCTAAAAAGTCCTGTATTTATTAAACTAATTGTTTTTAAAAGTTTTCCAACCAAGGGAGGTCAAAAAATGGATGAGAGAACTGAATGAGCCACTTTGCAAAGAGAATATCCAAGTGGTCAGTGAACAGCTGCCCCTGACGGGCCTGTCGCGAGCGGGCGGGCGACTGCAAACGCACAACCGTGTCATCATGACAGCAGGACCCGCAATGACTGACAGCAGCGAGCACTGGCGAGGGGATGGAGCCACCGGAAGGCCCCCCTGCAGGCGGTTGTGGCACTCGCTTTGCCATTTCAGAAGACATGTTATGAAATTTTCTTTCGACTTTGTTTTTTACATTTAAAAATGTAAAAGCCACTCTTGGCTCACCCAGAAAAAAGGCAGGCAAGTAGGACCAGATGGGGCCCCCCGCCCTAGTTCGCCAACCTCCTAGTTCCCCAACCTCGTCACCACTGAGTCATTTTCTCCTACCCCCATCACCCCCACCACGGCTTCAGTTACTCAAGTGCACCTCTTCCATGTTGTCCCCCTTCCCCCCAGGATGCCAGCTCCCGGGGAAGAGGCCTCACCTGTGTTGCCCCCGGCTGCGTGTCTGCTCCCTGGCAGTGTCTGACACACAGAAATTGGAAGAAATGAAAACAAGCCCACCTCAGGGTGGCCATGGCTCTGGATCGGATCTTGGCGGGCTTCTTTCTAGTAGGGATCACCGGGACAGTCCTTGGTTCTTCCTTGGTAGGCTCTGTAATCAAGGCGTCAGGTCGGAACGACTGAGATCTTAATAAAACTTCCGAGTATAAAGTTGGCCTGATGCCCCGGTCCAGATGGGGCCCGGATTTTATCCTGGCTTCTGCCTCTTCCTTTACGGGATATTGTATGGTGAACAGGCCTGTTAATGGGAGAAAGTGCTGTCAGCTTCCCTCACAGACTGGTCTGCCCTGCCCCGCTGCACCAAAGCACCCGTTCAGTTCATCATCCACACCCTCCTTCACCACTCCTGCAGATTCTCCCCTTGAGCTACTGCCCCTCCCCCATCTGCACTGTGTTCCAAGCCTAGTACAGTTAGTGGGCCAGTAACCGCTGGGTGAATGTAAGAACAAATCAATTTTATTTCTGTTCATTCTTCAAAACCCAGTTTAGGTCCCTCTTCCCCCAAGACATCTGTGTTCCATTCAGCTTTGTGTCCTGCATAGCACACAATGTAGAGGTATTGCATCCATGCTATTCCCTTCCCTGAGAATGCTGTTCCCTTCCCTGAGAACATTGTTTCCTTTGTCTCCAGGTTTAAGTCATTGCCTTCTACTTTCTTTGTTGTATAATACTTCTTTGTATTCTTATTTTTGCTTTCCCTATTAGACTGGAAAATGTCTGAGGCCAGAGACTTTTTCGTATACTCATACACCAAACATGTAATGCATGTTGGGCATGCAGAGATAGGCCAAAACAGGGTTCCCTGCCTCTGGGGACTCCTAGCACTGACAAGGTACAGGGAAGATGGCAAAGAACTATTCACAGTGGTAGGTGGTAAGATTTATAATTGGAGCATGATAAAAATAAAGAACTATAGAAGCCAAGAGGAGAGTATCGCCCCCTCTGTTGGGGAAGTCTCTGCTAGGGAAGTCAGGGAAAGCTTCCTGGAGGAGGGGCATAATCAAACTGAATTTTTATGAACAAGGAAAAACTCCCAGGGAGGCCTTGGTGGGAGCACAGCCCCTCTGTGCTCAATCAGGGGTAGCATGCAGTGGGGGTCAATGCTCCTTTGTCCCCAGGCCCATCAGCACTGAGGAACCCCTTCCACATTTCAGAGGGGGGGTCCTGAGGCCACCCACACAGGCCTAGAAGAACTGTGGGTTTCACAGGAATGGGCTGGTGAGGTGGCTGCTTAATCTATTGAGATCCTCCACAACAAGGTGAGAGGAATAGGGGCTGCAAAAGGATGATCGGTGACATGGGGGATGGGGCCGAAAAGTGAACGAGGTATAGGGGTGTGCAGAGGGACACATAAAAAGGGGCAATGGAGGCTGGGGGCAATGGAGATGGCAAAGATGCAGAGAACGTGCAGAACTGAAGTTGGCGGAGGTCCCTTTGTTAGCAGTTAGCTGTGTGGCTCCAGCAAGTTCCTTCAGAAGTCTGAGCCTGCTGATCCTAGCTAGCAGTGAGGGCAGCATCTTCCTGTGGGGAGGGCGAAGAACGGTCCTCGGAGGCAGTGTGCAGTCTGCACGCCAGATCGGCCGTCACCCATCTTTCCGCCCCCTTACCTGCCGCCAGCAAAATGGAATTCATGAACTGGGACACTGTCTTCTGAAACCGCTTCTTGATGTCCACCAGGGCTCGGCTCATCTTGGACAACTTGTCGTCCACGATGCTGATTCTGTGGGTCAGCTGGAGAGAGGCCGGGGGGGAGGGCTTTGTCACCTGCCCCACCCAAGCGCCTGCCCACCTGGGGAGAGCAAAGGCCTGGCTCAAGGCTGGAGGGTGTGTCCAGCCCTCTACCTACCATCCACCTCTCCTCCCCTCAGCCCAGGGGTTCTTGTGTGCTGGCCCAACCCAATGCAAATGTCCCTTCCTTGGAGGGTTTTCCCTACTAGACAGAACTGTGGCTGGCCCAGACCCCCACAATCCTCTGCAGCCTGAAGACAGGAGTTGTTGACCTTTTATGAAGTAGTTGTGCCTGAGCTCGCAGAAGAGCATGGGCTGTAAGCTCCTAGAGGGCAGGGACTGGGTCTCTGCTGTGTCCGTGTGTCTGTCCTGCAGAAGATGCACAGGGAACACTTACTGCGTCATGGATAACTGAGTGGCTAGAGGCTTCTCTGGAGCCTTTGCTGCCAGTTGCCCTCTACACCTGCCATCCAGGACCTCCTCCGGCCAGCTGCCAGAGCCTCGTCCAATTGCTGCAGCTCTCAGCTGAGAAACTGCCTGGTTAGGGTCCCTGCAGACCACCAAGGCCCAGGCCTCCTGCTCAGTGTGGGGTTACCCCGAAGGGGGCTTGGGCTCCAAAGCCCGTCCGTGCGGGATGGCCAAAGCCTCTGCTGGGGCTCTCCTACAGTCCAGCCTCTCCTTCTGCTGGGGCACCTCCAGGTACTGGGGAGCCAGGCTCCCACTCCAGAGTTAATGGCAGGCAGGGTCTGATTTTCTTCAATTTGGCCAATTTCCTCTGCCGGCAGTTGTTCTCTGTACTAAACTTGCACATTGGCCCATTTTTGTCCATTCTGCCCTGAGTCCTGGCAATTTTGCAACTTTTCTTCCCTATGGTGAGCTGCTGGCAGGGAGGAACTATGCTTTTTACATCTCCTACTTAGCACAGAGGAGGTGGAAAAAATGCCTTCTGTGGACATGAAGCCTCTGGTAGAGGGTGAGGGGCCTGGGAGGATGTCTTCAGATTTTCTGAAGAACAAGACTCAGCCTGCGTGTCCTCTTTACACTGCAGGCAGGATCTGGAAAGGCCCCAATTAATACCAAAGCCTCAACCTCCCTCTGACTGTTTGGCCCCAGCCCCTGGGCTAATTTTATTTATTTGTATTAACCGGGCCTGCTTCCATAAAGGACTCGAGGCGGCACTCGGACTAATAAAGCTTTTCAGCTGAGGCACTGCCTGAGCCCAAAGTGCTGCCTAGCTAGAAACACAGCCACAGGGGCTCCCGGCTGGGACTGCATTTCTGCCTGTCATTCTGACGGGTGGCTCTTTCCCGGGTGATGGGCCTCTGGGGAAGCCGTTTAACAAGCCTGCCAGTGATAGGGACTTTGAGGGTAGGAGGCCACCCCACCCCCTACCCGCAGCTTTTTGAGACCACCCTGGCCCGGAGCGAGCGCGCATACAGGATGAAGTTGAAGGATCGCAAATGTCCCAGGGTGGGGGCACGTTACAAAGTCACACATCATCACAGGGATGGGGAAACTGGCCCCAGGCCCCTTGGCCTCTCCCAGCCAAGGTTTTCTGCCAGCCCCACATTCAGTGAGTCTTCCCAGGTCCTTGCAGTCCTTGCAGCTCTACAGAGCTGATGTTCTGAGTCTTGGAATTGTACATAAAAGTATTCTAAGGGGCCTCCCCGGTGGCGCAGCGGTTGAGCGCTGGGTTGCGAAACTGCCCGCAGCCACTGTGGCGCCGGTTCGATCCCCGGCTGCTCCCCAGCCACCGGAGGAGGGTCCCATATGGCGCGCAGACCTCTCCTGCCGCCCGCTGCTCCCCTCAGCAGTGTACCTCGGTCCTTCTGCCTGCTCTGCTCCCCGCTCTGGCTCTGGTGAATTCTCTCACCCTCCCGCGCTTCTGACTGTACCCAGTGCATGTATAAACAAAACAAACAAACAAAATAAATAAATAAATAAAAACATGCCTCTATAAAACAAAAAAAAGAATATGCTTTAAAAAAAAAAAAGTATTCTAAGGTGTTTACTTAAGCTGGCAGTTAAGGTCAACATTTGGAAATCCTGTTACTGACAATCTGCCATTTCTCCACTTGCTGCTGTCTATCTAGTCAGAAAGTCACAGTATCTGCTACCTCTCTGAGTCCTCAAACGGTGGTTAAGTCCACTGTTCTCGATGGTACAAGCCCCTCGGGGGTCAGGAAGTGTGTCCCCTTCATCCCCTCATCTCCCTCCACAGTGATGACTTGGGCCACAGGTTGCCCAGCGAGTGGGAGAATGGAGCTGCAGGCCCTGCTACTTCCTCACCAACAGGCCTGTCACCGGAGGCAGTCCTTGTGCGGGGTCCTGCACAACAGACAGTAATAGGAGTCGTGCAATGGCTTGTACAAAGGGAATGCTAGAATGGAGCTGAGTCCCGGCTGGAAGGCCTGTTACAGGGCAGGGAGAGGGGCGGCCCAAGCATATCACTGAAGAACCATTATTGCCTTTAGAAATGCTAGTGAAACAGCAGAGACCACAAAAAGAAAGAAAAGGAAAAAGGTCCAAAGTCCTAGCAACAAGAACCTCTGAATTTTACAAGAGCCTGCCAAGTGGCCTCAGACGCCATCTTTGATCTGGCCACATGGTCCAACATACTGCCTAATCTTTTGTGTAAAACTGTGGCACAGAACAATTTCCACAAATTAAAATCTCTTAGCAAGTCACTACAAACAAATTACACACAAACACAAAGAATCTTCACAAAGCCCAAGCCAGTTTTTCAACAGCAAATCGACATATGAAACAAACACACTGGAGAAACCAAAAATCACATTTGCACTTATGGCAGCCAGTGCCATAGGGAAGCCCAGTTTCCCCATGAGGCTGACTAACCACAGATGGCTCTGTCCTAAATCATGTTGGGCGCCAAATCTGTTACAGGGCAGGGAGAGGGGCAGCCCAAACCCCACAAACCTGCCTATTCTATATAGGGATCTGCCATCCGCCGCATCAACACAAAACATAGGAGACTTTAATGGAAAGGAACTTTAATAAAACTAGGAAACAATGCAGGAAAGGCAAAGAATCTAGTTTCTAAATGAAGCACCCAAAGTTACCCGTCCCCTCGTGGGTAAAAGTCCATCCAAATGGGATTGGCCCAGAGCAAGGCCCCAAAGCCTGCCACAGTCTAAAGCATCCTCCAGTGGGGACCCACAGAAAAGGGTCAGAAACAACCAGACAAGCCTGGAAGGAAAAGAGCAAAATCAAAATCAAGATAAAAGCTACCATTATCTCCTCCCCACGGGTCTCACCCACATCTGTGTCACCCAGTCCACGACCAAAAGACAAGCACAGTTTCTTCACGTGTCTCTAGGCTCCATGCGCCTCCTCCAGGTCTCCTTCTGGCTCCATCCTGCTTCCTTCCTCAGTCTCCTCTGCAGCTTCTTCTCTCCCTGCTCAGCTCCACCCTCCCTTGGGTGGGGCAGGAAACCTGAAACCTCCCCCTTTCCTAGGGACCACCCTGTTACAGGCCGAGTGGAGGGGGAGGTGGACTCTACCTGGGGTGGGCGAGGAGGCAGCCACACACTGTGGCCGCTGTTCTGTCCAGCACCATCTGTCCCACTCCTCGAAACAGCATTATGATTTCTGTTTAAGACAACACTACTGCCTCATCCTTCGGTTCGGCCAGGAGGTACACTCGACCACATCCCTCGGTTGCCAGGATGGACATGACGCTCAAGCCTGACCAGTAAGAGCAACACACACTCCTGGCCACTGGGAACATTCAGGCAATAGGCACTTAGTATAGCCAATGATGTTGGTGTCACTTTTAGTGGAGTGTGCCCTCTTTCCCTGGGGGAGACCAACACTGGTAGACTAATTAATAACCCGAAGATACACCCGATCATTTTTTCACACTAAGGAAAGCCAACAAAGAGGAAAGCAGAGCCAAGAATTGAGATGATCTGTTGGAATCATTTGAGGACCTGGATCCAAGCATGCCTGAAGCTGCATATTGATAATCTTTTCAATTTACTGAATTGAGGGCCTCCCCTGGTGGCGCAGGCAGTTGAGCGCCGTGCTGTGAAGCTGTCTGCAGCCTCTGCAGCGCTGGTTCGATCCTGGCCTGCCGGCAAGGGTCCCACAAGGCGAGCAGACCTCTCCTGTCTCGCTCACTGCTCCCCTTAGCAGTGTATTTCGTCAGTCTGCCCATTCTGTTCCCCGCTCTGTCTCTGGTGAATCCTCTCACCCTCCTGTGAATCTGGCCTGCACCCCGGTTCTTGTATAAATAAATAATCTTTTTTAAAAATTTACTGAGTCAATATAGTCTCTTTTGAAGCATAGACTGGTTTGCATTCGATTCTGTTAGAACAGAAAGACTCATAACTGATAGAAATATTTAACATCAAAGGTAATACTAAGGTCAGGTAGCAAATGATGACTATAAGCCCACTAGGCAGAGAAGGCACTGAGATGTGCAGAGGCAACCCAAGTAGAGATGCCACAGGGGCAGGCTAGGTTCCTCATCTGCTTTGCCTTACCCGTTTATCATGTGTTATCCCATGGGGACAGCTGGTGGCTGAGACAGTGAGTTTTACTGTCTCCTGCAGGGAGGTGAAGGTCACCACAATGGAATCCTGCCCCAGCACTGTCAGTTTCATTTGCTCATTTACCTGCAGGAGAAAACAACAGCACTCTATTGCCTGTTTCTCTTGTCCCACCAACCCCTACCTGACTGACCACAAAATACAAAACTCTTCTTGACTTGGAGCTGAGGAAGCACAAGGCCTTTCTGGTTCTAATGTTGGCCTTTAGCTTTCAAGGAGAAGACAAGAGAGCTGCAATCTCTCGGGGTTTAGCAGAAAAACTAAATGATGCCTTCTTACCCCCGTCCCTTCCCTTCCCATCCCGAGTTTGGGACCAACTATGAAAGAGACCGGGAGACCAGCAGCAAATCAGCTTTGGTCTCGCAGAACTGGATGGGATGTCGGGCAGGTCAGAATCCGGCAGAATTAAGGTCTGAATCAGGCAGACCATGTGCCTGGCACCAGGTCTGACTTCAAGGCTGGCTCTATTCTGTGCAGAGCTGCCTTGGGAAGAGGAGCGCCCCCTTCTGCACCCCCTTCTGTGGTGTGTGGGCAGATGCAAACAGGAACACAGTATGGGATGCACTGTACATGCTGCTCAGGGCCCCCACTCCATACAGTCATCAAAATATGCTGCTGCTCTCCCCTTGAGGAGGAGCTAGCCTCCTCCTCAAGAGTGGGGTTTCCTATGGAGCAGTCCCAGAAGAGGCAGCGGGAGGGTGGGCTGCCTTTAGAGCCACTTACACCTTTCTGAGATGTGTGTGATCTGGGGGTGAGTCCCAGCTCTGCCCCCTCCCTGTTAGCCAGCCATTGAACCTCTCTGAAGTGCAAGTTCTTCAGTACGCAGTAGGCGAGAAGCTAGTATTGGACTCAAATGAGGTCAGGACAATGGAAGTGGCTTCATAGGCCATGGAAGCCCATCCAATAAAAGCAGGGCCCTGGATGTCCATGTGAGCAGGGTTACTTATCAGGGGGCCCTCCCCTGGGTTCCAGAGTCTGGGGCTCTGCCCTGCTGCCGGGCCATGCTTCCTCTAGTCACGCAGGCCCTGGGCTGCTCTACCTCAGGACTCCTCTGGGCCAAGATCACACTGCATGGCGCAGCTTCCCTTTCCTCCTACCCATCCATTTGTGGCTCGGCGGTCTACACTGAATACCCTCCCGGCCGGGTCTTTCCTCCTGCTCTACAGTCTGATGCTGGTCCCCTGCTAGCAGCACATCTGATCCGAGTGTCTTCCTGTCAAGTCTTTTGCTGTCTTCAAATTTTGTAGATCACTCTCACTTACAGAAACCTCTCCTGTTTTCCTTCTAGAAAACAGAGTATGGAGCACTGCACTTGGACAGAATTCAAATGTCAGTGTTGCCTCCCCCTCTATCATTCCCTGTAGTTCTTACAAAAGCAGTGTGAGGCAGGAGGACCAAACTGGCGATCCATCTTGTTTAGATGAGACAACTGCGACTCAGAGAAGCTGAGTGGTTTTCACAAAGCTGCACAACCAGATTCTGGCAAAGCTGGTGCCTGCATGTGGTTCTTCAGACTCTCACTGCAGTTATCTGTCCACTTGGTCTCACTGACAGAACATGGTACCCGTCGGCAACCCACTTGTCGTCTCCTGGCACGCATGCCGTCCGCACAGCTACAGAGAGCTTAAGATAAAAACTCGATACCCCCCCAAAGTGGGGAACATGGACTTGGCCAGGCATCATATTTGTGAAAACTACCAAATCCAGAACTCACAACAGCCCAAGTGAATCAGAGTTTCCTGGGGCTGTGCCTGGGCATCTGTTTCTGCAAGCTCCACAGGTGATGCTGACAAGCAGCCCGCGCGGAGAGCCTCCTCCCTGAATGAGCGGTGGCCGAATGCCTGACCGGGGCCGTGGGTGCTCTGAGAAGAGAGGCGGGTATGGGCGGGGGGCTCTGCACCAGCAGTAGCAGAGAGGACACTTGGGTGGATAGGAGAAGAGGGGCAGGCTTCAAGCCGGGAAAGCCAGGCTGTGCCGTGGAGGCTGAACGGGAAAGGCACAGAGTGGGAGGCAGCGGTGGGAGGCGGGGGTGGGCACTGGAGCCCCACGTGTGTGCCAAGAGGCCTCCATCCATCACTCTTACCGTGGGACTCCTCATCTCACGCCACCTCAACTGGACTTTAGTGTCTGTGTGCTTTCCCTGAACCTCTACCCGGCGACGCTGCCCCTCACTCAGCTCTGCTCTGCATTCTTACTTCCCTAACCCCGAGTTCCTCCAGAGGTCGTTCATCCTCCCGCCCCCCCCCAGATCAGTGACCCTCAACCAGGGCAGATTTGCCTCCAGGGGCATTTGGCGATGTCTGGAGACATCTCGGGTGTCACACTTGGGAGGGCATCTAGGGGGTGCTGTCAAGTGTCCTCCCATGCCAGAGGTGAGTAGTGCCAAGGGAAATCCTGCTTTAAAGTGACCGGCACACCTAATCCTTTATTAGTAAATTAATCACGTTAGTATTTAAGATTAGTAGGTCAACATTGTTATTTAATAATTTGTTGGTGAATGGTTGACTGAACCAACAAACGAAGGGAGAAAGAGTCAAGGATGAAAGAGTCAAGGAGAAAGAGTCCTTGACTCCCACCCAGCATTTGATCTTACCGATCGCAAAGTCATAAATAGAGAAACCAGGGAGATGAACATAGAATCGCTAACTTTTCCAATTGCCAGGAGTAGCCATTACAAATAAAACTGTCAAGTAGTTTACCAGCTACTTCCTAAAATAAAGGACATTTTCACTATAAAATGTAACACCGTCAGTAATAAAGATAAAGGGACGGCTGTGCCCGAGAGGGCCGCACAGCAGCCAGCTGGTGCTGTCGGCCGGTGACAGCCGCTCAGCCAGCCTGGGAGCTTCTGACAGAGACACCAGGTTCCTGTCTTTTAGGGAGCCCTCCGGTTCTTGGTGTGGGGCAACTGGGGAAGGCTGCCGGCGGCGCTGCCGGCCCTTACCTTATACTCCAGGGAGAGCAGCGTCTCTGTCTTGGAGGCCCAGCTCCACTTGTGGACTACGAAGCCCTTGTGGTCGCTGGTGGTCCCTCCTTCCTCATCCAATATCAACACATACGGGCAGCTGGGAGAGACACGGCAGTGAAGGGCTGCCACGAGCCCCTGCGGGAAGCCCCCATCCCTACCGGCCGCAGGCAGGCACTGTTCCGGCCAGAGGAACGAGGGGTTCCTACAGGTACCCTACTTGCTCCACATAATATGGTCTAAGGTCCCTTCACCTGTTGATGCTACTAGGGGGAGTTTGCTAGGAAAGGAGATCAGAGGAAGATGACGAAGCTCAGGGGAGCTCCCCCAAGAGGGGGAGAAATGGAATATGTGCCCTGTTGCCCAGGAGCCCGCGGCACAGGGGGCACTGGAGCACACAGAGAGTCATTGCTCCTGCATGCGGCTCCCGTGGAAGGCCAGGCAAAATCAGCGCTCGGCTGGCAAGAATAGACGGTCCCAGAGTGTGTCCACACCCTCTCCTCCACGCTCCAAGCTCCTCCGTGAATCTAGGCAACAACCAAGGTCTGAGTGCTCAGCGGTGCAAGTGGAATAGGACTGAGGGTCTTGCCCTCCTGTCTGCTGCGATGTGGATCCAGTGCGGGCGAGACCTCAAAGAACCTCCTTCCCTGCAAGCCTTAATTGGCCCTGCCTCTTGACGCTGCCTCGACCCTCCTTTTTCCAGGGACTCTGACTTGCCACCCACCAGTACCCCTCTTCGTCATCCTGGGTTCCCCCAACCCACTCACCGTGCCTTTAGGTTATAGTGAACGCAGCCTTGGCCTTCCGCGTTCAGTAGGGCCAGGAAGGAGAAACTGGGTGTGTCATTGAAGAGGAAGGTGACAGTTCTTCCTCTGCAGCACGTAGGGATCTGGCACGCAGCGAGGTTTCCAGAGGGATAACTAGCAGAAATGGTCAAGTAGAACTAACAAAAAACTCTCCCGGCTTTGCTCTCGGGTGCCCATGGAAATAGAGTCCACGTACCAAAGTGCATCATCCCCCACCTTCGAAGACCCTCAAGTATTTTGGGTGGATAACTGAATGACGGTGGGACCTCTGTGCCCTGGGTAACTTCCCATACCTGTTTTCTTTCCTCACAGCCACTCTGGGGCAGGTAGGCTTATCTCCATCTTACCTATGACGAGGCTTCCCCTGAAGCCAAGGGCTTTCCTAGGAGGCAGAGCTTTTGGTGCTAAAACCAGGAAAGTCCGAGGCTAACCAGGATAAGCGGGTCATCCTACACAAGGAACCCCAGCCACAGAGGAATGACCCACCTCGCATCACACTGCAGGAAGCGCCAGAGCCAGAATCCTGACCTCTGAGGTCAGTGGTATTTCTAATACTGCCAGGCACCTCCTGCCTCACCGAGTAGTTCTGAGAGCCCAACAAACCCCGAAAGGAGCAGCGCAGGACACGGGCCCGGGAACGAGGTGTTTACTCTGTGTATCTTCATGTGGAAAGACGCTGAGGGAAGTCTGATGGACACTCAGTGGGTGAGGAAAAAGAGGCAGGGGACGCCGACAACCAGATGAACGCTGGAGGGTTCTGAGGGCTGATGCTGACAAGTGCAAACCAATCAGGTCTTGGAACTTCTTCTCACCCCAGGAGCAGATGTGTCACTTTTGCCTGAGAGCGCCGCCCAGCAAGCTCCATGAAGACAGAATCAGCTGCTGGGCTGGGCTTCTGCGGGGAGCCTGAAGAAAGCATTCTCTCTACTCAAGAGGGATAACAGCTGTGCGAGTTTGGGCATGTGAATGGGAAATCTCTTTCTAGATCACCAGCAATGGAAGTCCTCACCTTATGACAGAAAAAGGTGAAGCTCAGAGAGAAGACGTGACTGATGCAAGATCACCAAGAAGCGAGAGCCCCAAAGGGGAGGCTCATTCAAGGCCAGGGCGTGATCTCTGTTGGGAGATCTAGGTTTGGGGTGGGTCCCCAGACGCTGGTCCCTCTGACAGCAAGCTCATTCACAGACATAGCCTCACGAGGAGCTTGGGGAGATGATCCTATTCAAGGCCTCCAAGAGTCAGGAAAGGGAGTGGGGGAGTCCCAGGACACTGAGCAAGCAGCAGCTGCCCTGGAAGGAGTTAGCTGTGTTCAGTGCCCTTTGGACACAGAGCTGAGCAGAGTGTGATGAATGGATTCATTTACGGCCAGAGAAACAGTAGGACTTCTTTGACAGGGCGCTTAAATTCTGAATTCTCAGTTTGGTAGAGAGGAGGCCAAAGGAAGCGAGAAGGGCTGTTGTGGGCAGGCCTGGCTGAGTGCACCCCCCTCAGGCCCCAGATAGCTCAGAGAGCCATTCTCTCCTCCAATGCCAGGGGACCCTGTGCCCAGCGGTTCTATTATTCAAAGGAGGCCCCCCTCAGTCACCCCTTTCCTGCTCTTTGCTGGAAGTAATAATCCTGAAAGACACAAAAACTGATGCTAGAGAGAGGGCCACCTAGTGAAGGTGAGGAGGCAGCCCTGGACCCAGGCCTGGCTCTCCCACCAGATTTCTCTCCTACCCATTCCTACAATGAGGGGAAGGATGAGCAACTTAGTCTCTCCTCTTTGACAGCTCATCCACCTCAGACTACAGAACCTGCTATAAGGATTTTGCCCTGTCTGGCTTCTGAGCCTGGCTGCCAAATAGGTGGTGCATCCGGGATCTGGTGTGGCTCTGTGGAGAGCAGTCTGGGGAGGGGGCGACAGGACCCTGCAAGGAATACAGGGGTCCAAGGTGACTTCCTGATTCACTGCTTCTCACCCTAGGATTGTCCAAAGGGCGCTCTTTGACCATCGCCACCCACACTCCGACTCCTTTCTCGTTTCAGACGAAAACAATCCAGTTACAGCTGCTCCTCTAAGGCGTGGGTGGCGCCCTCATTTCAATCCATTAACGCATCACACTTAATGCTTGATAAGCATTGAAGAAAACGTCAATGAAGAAAATAATCTTACTCCCTTCACTCTAAGGTATGCAGGGTCTCCAGCTTCACCCTCCAACAAGGATTTGCCTTTTAGAAATCTAGAATTCGGAACTCCAGGCCCACAGACAGGCTTTGGAGGTCAGCAAGCTCCTGAAATTGCAGGTAACATTTCAGCTTCACGTATATGAGTGTGTATTTCTGGGGAAAGGGTCTATAGCTTTCCCCAGATTCGCAAAGAAAAAAAACATGACCAAAAATATGAGCACACCCCAAGGTAGGACCCAGCTGCCCATATGTTCATGAACACAGACAGAGCTCAGCTGCAGAGTAAGCAAGGTGTATGTTGGGTGGGCCTCTCAGGATCAGATGCCAAACACAGGACCTTTGGGACAAAGTAGGTATGAACCACAGGGCTTAGCCATTGAGCCAGCGGCAGAAAGATGAAAATTCCATCCCCAAGGATTCAGGGCATCCTGCCTCTTTCTCTCGCCTACAGAAGAATTTTCTGTGTCTCTCCCTCTGCTGGGTCCCCGGCCTGCACTGGCAAGCCGCCCACAGACCACCGGGCATGGTATATTCATTCTCTCAGCTCTGTACTGAATTTGAGGGCTGGACCTTGGTACTCCTTCCTCTGACCTTCCTGAGTCTCACAAGGGCAAACTCTTAATACCCTGAGGCCCTGTCACCAGGTTCCATTGATTGATTGAAATGTCAAAGTGAACACTCAGACTCATGCCCTCCCGGAAGTCTGTGGGGCTGAGCTGCAGGGAGAAAGGGCAGCAGCCAGTGAAAGGATACTAAACAAAGGAGGAGCCGTCATAGAAGGTATAATGCAACTTGCTGGCCTTCTTGGGTATCCTCACGTCCTGAGAATACCGATTGAAGTGAGCGTGGTGGGTGGAGGCGACAGGGTGCTGGAGGGCAGGAGCAGAAGCCTGAGCACCTGAAGTGTGGTGGTGATGGGAGTTTGGGGCTTGAGTGTCCCCTTTAGGGGCTGGCCCTGGATGAAAGGGCATTTTTGTCCTGTAGTTGCGTATGAATGTGGGGTAGAAGATATTCCTTCCTTTCCAGGAGACCCTTTCAGCTTCTCTGCAGGGAAGGAGACCAACATATCACCTTGAAACGTACCTCTCACCAAGCTCTGAGGCTTCTCCCAGCTCCCTTCTGATTTCCTTATCCCAAAAGCACCTGACCCCACCTCATTTCCCCTAAACCTAAAAATGTAGCCCTGATTTCTGCCTTTAGTGCTGGGGAGCTAAGCCAGCCAGGAACAGAATGGGGGCTGTGTGCAGAATGGTGGGCCGCAGTGGCAGGAGGTTCTGCTCAGCACCCAGTGCTGAGGTGACAGGGACTTCCTCCCAGAGTGTAGGAGTAAGCAGCAACCTGGGTGGATGCCCCCACCCACGCCCTGCACGTCTTAAAGGCCTGAGAGATATCAATGGCTTAGACATGACCGGGTTTTCAATCCTTTATGGCCCATGGTCCAGGCCTTAGGAAAATGTAGATTATGTTACTAGGACTTGCGGGAGCCATCAAATTTTAAAAATCATTAATTACCCGTGTCAATGATTTTGCTTTGAGAAGTGTTTCATTTTTGTGGGAGAACATCTGACAAATTAAGAAACAAACATTCAGGGCACAAAGGCTGTGAACTGTGAGCAGCCTCACGAAGGGGGCTCACTGGTGGGCAGGCAGAGGGCACTGGCCCGGGGTCAGGCCCACCAAGACGTAGGACCTCATTTATGCCTTACCCACCCGCTGGGGCTGCCTCAGTGTCCTCATCAGCAACACGGGCATATATCCCGTCTTCCTCATACGGTCAATTGAGGACTGAAAGGATTGTGAGTGGGCAAGGACTGGGACCCAGCGTGCCTATGAGGGACACCCATCTCCTGCCACTAGCCCTGGAGTCACTGAGGGGCCCATACTTCCCAGCATGACTCAGTCACTCCTGGGATTGCCCCTCCATGTGCCACAGTGACCAGTAGCAGTGCCTTCCCCTCCTGCCCTTCCCCCGGCCACTGAGGCACTCACATGTGGCGACACATCTGCTGCAGCTTCTCCCGGGCCTCAGGGCAGGGGTCGCTGATCTCCACGATGTCAGAGGCAGAGGCTGCTCCCCAGTGGATGGGTGATGTGGGAAAATCTTCGAAATTTTTTGATTTGCCTGTAGTTGGATATGAAGAGGTAACGGAGGGCTTTAGAAAATGGTTTCAGGGCCTCCCTGGTGGTGCAAGGGGTTGACATGGCGCCGCAGACCTCTCCTGTCTCCCCGCTGCTCCCCTCAGCAGTGTATTTCAGTTAATCTGCCTGTTCTGTTCCCTACTCTGTCTCTGGTGAATCCTCTCACCGTCTCCCCCTCCCCACCTCTGACCTGTACTCTAGTTCTTGTATGCATAAATAAACAAATAAATCTTTTAAAAAAAGGAAAATGGTTTCCTTTTTTTAAGATTTATTATTTATTCATACAAGCACTGGGTACAGTCAGAAGCACGGGAAGGCGAGAGAATTCACCAGAGCCAGAGCGGGGAACAGAACAAGCAGACTGAGAAAATACACTGCTGAGGGGAGCAGCAGGCAGCAGGAGAGGTCTGCGCGCCATGTGGGACCCTCGCCGGCAGCCGGGGATCGAACTGGTGCTGCAGAGGCTGCGGGCAGCTTCGCAACCCAGCGCTCAACTGCTGCGCCACCAGGGGAGGCCCAGAAAATGGTTTCTTAACCCAGGTTAAGAAAGAGCAGGGAGAGCTAGGAAGCAGCACCCCCGATCATTTCTGCTTCCTGGGGAGACAGGAATTCCTGGCAGGTCACTTATACAAAACAGAGATGTCACTCTGTGGTTCTCCCAGCGTGTGTCAGGAGCAGAGTTGTGCAGTGATGAAAGTGGCTGTGTCTCCCCAAGGTGAGGCCTGGTCCTCAGTGAGGGGAGTCCAGCTGTGGCTGCCGTGGACACTAAATGAATCCCCCTGACACCTGTGATGAAAGACCAGAAGCCTTGGCTCTGTCCCAGGGGACTGCACGGCCTCCCACAGAGGGCAGTGGGGACTGACTGAGACTTGGACCGCAGTAGGTTTTTAATTTATTTTTTAATTATTGCAGCAAGAAACACCTAACAAAAAATTACCATCTGAACCAAGTGTACAGTTCAGTGTATTAAATACACTCACGTTGTTGTGCTGTCATCACCACCACCTATTCATAGAGTGTCTTCCATCTTATAGAACTGAAGTTTTATCCCCACTAAACAGCAACTCCCCAACTCCTCCTCTTCCCAGCCCCTGGCAGCCCCCGCTTTGCTTTCTCTCTGATTTTGACAATGATTTTCAGTAATTCGTACAAGTGCAATCACACAGTGTTTGTCTTTTTGTGACAGGCTTTTCACTCAGCATAATGCCATTAAGATTCTTCCATGCTGTAGAACACTGCAGAAGTTCCTCCTTTTCAAGGGTGAATAACATTCCATTGCAGAGACCATATGGCAAGTATGCGATGGATGAGAATATGGTGACGTGAGAGTGTGAAGGTCATTCTCTAGGGCTGACCTTCCAAAGGCTTCTATTTAGGTGCGACCTGTTTCTGCTACCTGAGCCTCTGCTGCTCACCCAGCTGGGGCCATGTGCTCTCCCTTGATATACGTAAGCGCAACTTCACTCTGCTTGCATATATCAAGAATGGAAGCTGGCTTCAGGCCAGGCACCACTCAGGCACCACTCCAAATGAACCCTGGGGGACTCAGAATGGAATATTCCTTGCTGTCAACCAAGCTATGGGGTCTTTGCCCACAGTTTGAGTGATTCCTGATCCCTTCCCCACTCATCCTGCTATCAGAGACAAGAGACTTGACCCTGAGGCCCTGCCAGCCAACCACCTGGGACATCTGCTGGGCTGAGCATCCATGTCTGGCCTGCCCCTGGTTGCCCCTGGTTGCGAAGGTAACAACCTCTTGCTCCAACCAGGAGCCACTACAGAACTACTCTCAGTCTCCTCCTATATTGGATTGCTTTCTGGAGATGGCTGGTGTCTCCACAGGGATCAGCCCCTGGGTCCTGTCTGCTCCAAGTCTACCCAGCCCTAGGCTGGCAGAGGTGGCCAGCTGGTGGTACATGGGCATGGAACAGAGAGCAGAGGTTCCAGACTCTAAGAACAAGAAAGGCTCTACAATATAATGTCCAGGCTGGGCACTTTTTGGCTTTGACAGTGGATGTATCTGATAGCTATGCCAGGACATAAGCATAAACCAGGGCATTCCTGAGCAAGACAGGATACCTGGTTACTTATAATCCTTTAGAGAAGTTTAGACACCCACCCTAGCATGCCTCTGTGAAAATAACTTCTACACACCAAAGAAATGCAGCGTCCTTGAACAGCTATGCCAGTGAGGACATGCAACACCAGGACGAGCAGCTACCTGGAGGGGAAGCCGAAGAAATGGCTGCACAGGTGACCCACAGACATACTGAGCATCCTGACTCCAGGCATCACCCTCAAGGTTGGGGGGCATAAAATAAGCAAGACGTTACTGGGGGTCTGAGGAGACTGTTTCCTTGTCAGTGATTATGTCCATTAAGGCCAGTGAGGAGGGGATATGCGAAAACCAGGAGCACATAAAGTGGAGTGCCAGAGATGAGCATGTGGATTAGTAAACTGTGGTGAGGGGATACACATGAACAGTGGTAAAGGAACTGGGGGAATACCAGGTAGTGGGGGGCAGCTGAACCCACACTGTGCAGGGAAAACCGAGAGAGTTAGCTCTGTTAAGATGTTCTTTGTATTAAGAGTCCACATGTGCACTCCTGGCATCTAGAACAGGGACTGGCAACAGCAGTTGCTCACTAACTACAAGTGTGTAAGGATTGGCTTGACGAGGAGGGTGAGGACTGGAAGAAAGCAAGTCCTCATAGCTGGCCAAGGGCAGGGTCAGGAATAAAAGTAAGCATCTCCACTCTAACCTAACCTCCAGTGTCTAAAGGGTTCACCGGACAGTGACTGAGCATTCCCATCTGACGCCAATCCTCGCATCACCCCTCTGGGGTAGCCCTCCCCGTCTACTCTGCTCCACCCCTCTCACGACAGCCCCGGGGCTCCTGGACATTCCATGGGGTCTTGTTCTGCTTCCTCCAGCCCCAGCTCATCTCTGCCCCAAGATGCCGGCTCCCTGGCCACTGCTAGGTTGTTTCATCTCATAAGCTCCCGGTTTCCTCCCCCAGCTTTTCCTTCTATGGTAGAAAACAAAAATAACTTCCATGTCTTTGTTTTCTGCCCTCATGAACTAGACGCAGGAAACATGGTTACATCTGATAGCCAGGCTCCCCTGCTCAGGTGCTGGTTCCCCCACTTGCTGTGCATTGGGGAAGCACAGCTCTCTCCGGGCAGAGTGTGTGAGGAGGAGGAGGTGGGTATGCTAGGGACGTCTTCTCAGGTGAAGGGCACGACGTCAGCAGGACGGGAAGGCATGGGAACATTTACACAATGAGGCCACACTGAGCAGTGGCCGCAGCAACCGTTAACAGCTGCTGGGTCTCCAGTCAGGGCAGTCGCAGAGCTCTCCTATCAAAACCCCAAATCAAACCATCCCATCAAGCTACACAGGGAATCTTCTAGCCCCACTCCCACCACCAAGATGCCATGCTAGGAACCATGGTTACCTGATTTCTTTTTCATATCCTTTGTAGTTGAGAGGGAAAAGCTCAGGCAGCTAGTCGTGGACTCGTAGATAAGCTGGTAAGGTGAGTTCACTCCCATGGCCGACATGTTCATGAGAGACTCTGGAAAGGAAGAGAGAGGGCTGCTGCTTTTGATTTTTAAATTAAAAAAAATTTTAACCAAAAATGTTAGTGTGGACTATTTGTTCTAGAAGTACACCATTATTCTAAAGTGTCCTGCTGTTCAAAACAACCAGATCCCTGGGGAAAAGACTTTTTAATGCATGGGTATATTCAAAGTAATTAAGGGAAATCTTTAGGGCTCCTTTCCATAGCTCGTCTGCCTCTGATATCTCTCAAGAGTGAAATGACACCGAACAGAGTTGCAAGTAAGTACAAAAGGCAGATCTTAGGGCAGATACAGACAGAACTGCTGCACTAGGTCGAGAGAATGAACCGTGGGACAGTTAGAAAGAAATTTAGAGCCTTCTGCTTCCCCTTATCCAGTCCACAGAAATCAGCTCTTCAGTCTCATGCAAAATCACACTGTCTTGTGCAAAATCATTTGATATCTGACCACTTAAGAATTAAAATTTAGTCTCTCCAACTGCTAGTGGGAAATTGTGATCATTTTCATTAAATCATTTGTTTATTCTTCCCCCCAAACAGGGTCATTTCACTGAGTAGGCATGCAAACATTGCTAGGAAATCATCACAGTCCAAGATGATGGAAAATGGTAAACCTGACCTCATAAGTAGACAAAAACTAGAACAGAAACTAGTCATCCTGGATGATGCAAACACACACATAATTACTCGTGATTCAAATGTTGAAATTAGAACAACTTTTCAGTGTCTCAAACTTAGCAGAAATGAGAAAAACTAACAATAACCAATGCTGGCAAAGATGGATAAAACCAGTCAACCCTGCTGATGTAGAGAAAAGCCTAGAGAGAAAGCACTATTTAGCAAAAGCTACAAAATATTAAGATCCTCCACCCCAACAATCCCTATCTTGGGAAATTAATCTTAATGACCAATATAACAGAAATAAGGCATGATAAGCATAAAGTTGCAAAAGACTGCACAGAAACTGAATAACAGAAACTGAAGCGTTCAGTTAATTACGGAATGTGGACATTAGGAGTCTGCACCCCCTCAAGATGATAGTTACTAAAAGTATAAAGCCATGTTGGAGAACATTTGTCAAGTGAACTGAGAAACAGAAAAATTGCAGTAATTTTCATATAAATAAATATCTACATGTGTGTTTGTGTGTGCATATACATACAAAGGATGTGTATATGTTAGGTGAGAGAGAGGGAGAGAGAGAGAAAAAAACCACAAAACCACAAAGGAAACTGCAAAAGTGAAAAGGGTCCCTTACGTAAAGATGGCAAGGTCACTTGTTTCCTCTGGCATGTTTGATGGAATGATATTGCCAGTAACAAAGAGTCAAGGCTGCACCCTGGTGCTCTGTGCTCTGGGCCAGGACCAGCAGGCACTGGCAGGCAGCTGTCTAGTGGTGATGGAGACACCACCTTAGCAAGGGTTTGTGTGGGTCACCGCGGTAAGGGAGGACACTCCAGACTCCGTCACAGCTGTGGCCCGCCTCGCCCAGAAAGGCAAAGTGTGTGCAAAATCGTCCACAGAGTTTGAATCTTCTTTTTAATGGCCTTGGGACGTGATCTAAATTCAAGTCTTTCTAGGATGGATGGTTTTCCAAAAGAAATGCTGGCACCTTCATTTATATTTTGTCACTTAGATTTTTTTTTTCCTCTCAAACCCTATCCTTGTTTAAAAAAATGAGTGTCTAAGACAGGAATGCCAGTGAGGGTAAGACTTCCCCAGAATGCCAGGCAGAGTAGGCTTCCTGGGGCACTGCTGCTGCCTCACAGGACCCCGAAATCATGGAAAGGTTCCCCGCAGTTCAGATCAGCTCTCTGCAAAGTCTCCTCCACTAGATGAGCGCGACCGCGGTGGACCGGTGGCAGATGGGCCACGGCGGGGTCACCAGACAGCCCGCGATCCCGGCCAGCGCCACCTGATGCGCCTGCTGGGGGCTGCTGCATGCCAGCCGCCCAGCGGTTCCTTTCCAAGGTGAGGAGACTGTGCAAAGCAGAGGAGAGCTGGCCCACCCGCGGAGCTGCTCCCGGGACTCTCCCACCATACGACATACCTCCAAGCAGCTGTGCCCCAGATGTGGGGATCCCCACGCCCTACGCAGCAGGCAGGGCGCGGGCCCATCGCGCAGGTAAGGGTGCAAGGACAGTCGGGGCCCCTAGGTGAACGTGGATGGCCGAGCCTGCTGCTCTGAGCCACCGCACAGACTCGGCTCCTTAGAGCAGAGACTCCCTTTCCATGGTAAACAGTGTCAGGGAGTTGGAAGTGTTTGGTTGGAATTTTAGCTTAGAAAAGGAGACAAAACTTATCAAAATAACCGTAATCTTCTATTTAGCAAATCTTGTATCTGTGGCTATTATAAGCACGGTAATTCGCATAAGAAATAAAAACCATCTTGCCGACTTTTCTCGAGGTGGTGTGATCTCCTTTCTCCTGAATGGTGGGACAAGGAGCAATAAAACGTAGGTTTGGGTTTTTTGGTTTTGTTTTGTTTTTTTTTCATGTTTGCCTTTTGCAAAGATATCCAAGGGCTTTATTGATTTTTTATATTTAACCCTTCAATACCCGCATCGCCCTTCCTCCACCGAGTCCTGTAGCTGCGACCCTTTCCCTCCCTCAGCCGCTAACAGGCTCCACTCCACCACCTCGGTCATCAGTGGCCTCGCTCAGGAACCCACCTGGCCTCCGACATCTCCTGCACTCCCCAGACGCCCTTCCTCCCACCCTGCATCTCTCCTCCACACGTGGACTTCGCAGGGCTCCCGAAACCGCATAGTATTACTTCGCATGTTTCCAGCTTTAAACGGTATTATCCCCAGGGCATCCCTCCACCGCCAACTTCCTTCCCTTCTCTCTCTTTCCTTTTTGCTTCACAATATTAAGGGTTCTGCCTCCAATTCCAGTGTTGGGGTTGCAGTCCCCCACGCCACCCCTAAGCGGTCTCTGATAACAGCGCGTGTCCTACAGTTCAGCTCGGGGCTTGACACCAGCGGCCTGGAGACAGTGTCCCCTCCCACAGGGGACGGTGCAGTCCTCAGGCCGCCCCTCCCTTCACATGGGTTCGGTGCGTATGAACCCACGCTGGCCATGGCCAGGTCAGCACCACAGCTCAGAGTAAACACTGTCGTTACTGGGGGCGGAGCTGTAAGGTAGAGACACCTCCCGCCTTGCAAATGCCACCAAAAAATGGCTCTTTGTGGGAAGCCCGCCGATGTACACACCTGTGGGGCCTGGGCGCCTGTTCCTCCACATCATCTGTTGAAACCGGGGACTTGCCCTTTCCACCACGGTCTTGGTGGCGTGAGCTGAACTTACAGCTGAGGGCTGAGGCTTGGGGACCCACCTTTCCACAGCTTTGCAACATCATAGCCATCTTTCCCGGATGCATTGATCAGGTAGTCGAATGCCATCTCCTTGGCATTGAGGTGGAGAAGTTGGCTGGCCTCCACGAAGCGCCGTGTGATGTCCACGGGGTTGGCACCTATGAAAACAATCATCCAACGCGACTCATTGGCCCCCAGCGTGGGGCCAACTGCCTAAGAGAAGGCCCTCTGCACCGGCCTGGGAGGTGGGTGTCGAGTGGAGAGCTGCTCGCAGCCGTGAGGGGCTCCTGATAAAAGGGTCTCACACTCCCAAGACCTGGCAGGTGGCACTTTGCTCTCTCACCCCCTTCCTTGCTCTCTTCCTACCCACAGGGCTGTTGCTGATGCTGTTGGTTTTTTGTTTTTTTTTTAATTCAGCCTCTCGAGTGTTTGATTACCGATTGGTTTCTAGATCCTGACCTTGAACTTGGGATGACACCCTTCCTGTGGACAGACCCCGATTCTCACAACTCCCCCTGGTTCTGGCTCTACCAGACACTGTCTTGCTACCCGCCAATCAGCCCACTCCACTGGCACCGCACATCCCCTCCTCCTGAGGGCTGCTTCTCCCACCTCAGCATCATTTCCACAAACTGCACCCCCATGGTGCCTCGGACCTCGCACCCCTCTCCACAGCCCACTTTCCCATCTAGGTTCAACAAAGTTGAGGGGCTGGGAGGAAAAAAATGGAGAACAGAGGAGTGAAAGGAGGATTCTGGGATGGGGGAGGGTGTCAGTACGCTGGTGCCTGTGGCGCACCCTTCCCAGCCTGATGGAGAGGCACCGGCCAGCAGGCTCACCAGATACAGACTCCAGCATGGCCTTCATCTTCAGAGCGAGGAGCTCCGTCAGCAGGTGGATGGACTGCTGCTGGAACCTGCGCAAGGTCTCCTGGCCAGGGCACACCTGGCGGCTGGTGGGGGCAGCGGAGAACTTGGTTGGCGGAGTGGATGGCACGGGCGGCGGGGGCGCTGCTGGCACCGTCGGCGCTGTCAGGGGTGGCTTCTTCTGGACGGGGGCCTGGACGGGGGTGGGCTCTGCAAGCACCATGGGTGGGGCCCCAAAGCTGATCTCCAGGCCAATGATGTTGGACGCCGTGGGCACCATGGGGTCCATGATGAGCTCCTCCCAAGTGAACTCAAAGATGTTTCGAATGCCCTTTGGTACCGAAATGCCTGCATTCCGGCAAACCATGAGCAGCTTCGAGATGTGGGCCAGCAGCTTGGGGGCCATGGCTGTGTACTGGTGGTACAGTTCGCGGTTGCTCTTGACGTCCGTCATGCTGTGGGGACATGCATACTGCTAGGTGATGCTGTCCATCTTGGACAACAGGCACCTTCAGCCGTCAAGAGTCAGAGCACCCTGAGAGGTGAGTGAGAGTGAAAGTTCTTCACTGTGGTGAAGTCTGGAGGCAGAAATGCTGAAATGACCCTTCAGGTCATTGAGTCGGCAGGTCCTACCTGACAAAGAAAAATGAATCAGTCATTCCCCCTGCAGCAGAGCCAAGGAATGCCCCCTCCTCCCTTTCTTTCCCAGGCGTGCCATCGGACCGTCCCACACTAGTGGGTCCAGCTTGTAGAGGCCCTTGGCAGGACCAGACTCTAGAAATGGTTCCAGGGACAGTCACATAAACCTGAGAGCCCATGGACAGGCCCTGGGAGGTGGAGGAGCGAAAGGATGGGGAAGGGTGGGGTCCAGCATGCCGTCTTGTAATTAGAGATCCAAGGGTGGAGAATCTGCTTGTGGTTTACCTACAAAACCTTCAAACACAAAGAGATGTTCCACTGGCTCTCCCCGGAGAAGGTGATGTGGGAGATCCTGGCTGCACTGCAAGGATGGGCATGGAGCTGCTCAGTGCGTACCTCCAAGGAAGACAGGAGAGGAGGAGGATGTGGGAAAGGACGCTGATTGGTTTACATTCATCGAACCAACCCCGCATCCCTGGAATGAATCCTGCTTGCTCATGACGAATGATTCCCTTAATATATTGCTGGATTCAAAATGCCGAGATTCTGTCGAGGATTTCTGCATGGATGTTCATCAGAGGTATTGGTGTATAGTTTTTTCTGTGTGCTGTCCTTGTTTGGGGGTCAGGGTAATGCTGGCCTCATAAAATATGCTTGGGAGCTTTCTCCCTGCTTCACTTTTTTTTTTTTTTAAAGAAGTTTGAGAAGGATGGGTCTTAGATCGTCCAACATTTGATAGCATCCACTAGTGAAACCACTTGATACTGGGCTTTTGTTCTTATGGAGATTTTTGTTTACTCTTGATTTCTGTGCATGTGATTAGTCTGTTCCAACTGTCTATTTCACCCTGGTTCAGTCTTGTAAGGCTGCATGACCTAAAAATTAGTCCTTCTAGGTTGTACAGTTTCTTTGCATATAAATGTGCATAGTATTCTCTTACGATCCTTTCTATTTCTGCATTATGTTTCACTTCTTTCATTTCTTAACCTATTTTGGTTTTCTCTTCTTAGTAAACCTAGCTAAGGGTTTTATAAAATTTTTGTTGATTCTTTCCAAAAATAAGCTCTTGGTTTAATTGATCTTTCATATCATTTTTTGTTTCTATTTCGTTTATTTATATTCTTAATTTATACCAAAAATAGACCACTGGTCAAGAGAGGAACTATGAAGAACAATTTGATGAACACAAAAACAGTCAAAAGAATAAAGACAAATATATTTCTAGGGTTTTGTAATCAGATATGAAAGCCTTATATATCTGATCAAAATGAACCTCATAAGGGCATTCCTCAATCCAAATACATTTACAAAAATGTAAAGTCATTCCTTGATCTGCACAAAAATAATTTCCTTTTTTCTTAAAGGCTTTGTGGCAATATGAACCCCTGTAAAGCTTAGGAATCTAGAGCAGAGAGGACAGGCTGATCACTGTGCCCAATTTCCACACAGTGTCAGGAAGCTGTCCCTGTTATCTGACTTCGTGAGCACACTTGCTAATACGTCAGCCTTTAGAGCAGAGGAAGGACTGCCGGTTGGCACCTTCTGACAGTCCTTATCGCTGCAGTCTTCCAACATCAATTCTATCACCTCCCACGCTAACAACTCTCCTCACCAGCAGGTGCTTGGCGTCCTTCTCCCACAAGACAGTACTCATTGTCCACTCCACATCCCCATTTCAGGAGTGTACCCCTGCACCCCATCAGCAGGCCTGTGGACTACGATCCTTGGATGAGAAGGCTACTATCTCTCCATTTTACTGATGATGAATTGGAGGCTGAGGCAGAGCCCGGGGTGAGGTGTTGCCTGCTTGCAGATTCCTGGTACAGAGACCTCTCCAAACACAAGACAACTTCTCCACTGCCTCGGAGCTGCCTTTGCCTATCAGCGACAACATCTCCAAGGAACGAGAGTACCATAGAGCAAACCCTTCTGACATCCTGCTGGTTGCAGATAAAGTGGCTTCCAATGCCTATTTGCTGACCCCTTGGCATCTCTATTCCTCAGAGCTCTGGATACTGGGAAAAAAAGGTTCATTTTTGAGATGATGTATCTACTGAACAAAGAAACCACTCAGAATCTCGGTCATCCGGGCAATCAGCCAGAGGGATCTGACCCCGAGCGTGCAGGGCAGATTTTTTAAAGCCAGGGCTCAAATGAAGAGAAGATGAAGAATACAATTCTTGAAATGTTAACTGGTTTAAGGAACGTCTCCCCACACCCCACCCCATACCAGTGCCTTTCTTTTGAGGTTTATTACAAAGACATGCCTTACAAGGAGAGGAAAGCTAATTCTTAAAAACAGCTTTACTGAGTTATAACTCACATACGATACAGTTCACCCTTTTAAAAAATGTACGATTCGGGCCTCCCTGGTGGCGCAGTGGTTGAGCGCTGGGTTGCAAAGCTGCCCGCAGCCTCTGAGGTATCAGTTCAATCCCCAGCTGCTCCCCGGCCACCGGAGGAGGGTCCCATATGGCGCGCAGACCTCTCCTGCCTCCCGCAGCTCCCCTCAGCAGTGTACTTCGGTCCTTCTGCCTGCTCTGCTCCCCGCTCTGGCTCTGGTGAATTCTCTCGCCCTCCTGTGCTTCTGACTGTACCCAGTGCTTGCATAAATAAATAAATAAATCTATCTTAAAAAAAAAAAAGTACGATTCATAGTATATTCAAAGTGATGCAACCAGCCACTATCTAGTGTAAGACATCTTCATCACTCCAGAAATAAACCCATCAGCAGCCACTCTCTATCCCTCTCCCCTCCCTTAAGTGACCACTAGTGTCCGTGAACAGATCTGCCTGTTCTGGGTGTTTCATATAAAGAAGTCAGACTATGTGTGATCTCTGTCTGGCTCCTTTCCCTCAGCATGTTTTTGAGGTTCACCCATGTCATAGTTTGTAACAGCACTTCATTTACAGCAGAATTTATAGCACTCCATTATGTGGATACACTACAGTTTTTTCAACCGTTCATTATTTGATGGATATTCTGGTTGTTTCCACTTTTGGGAACATTTGGGTACCAGTTCTTGAGAGGACAGATGTTTTCATTCTCTTGGGTATATATCTAGAAGTAGAATTGCTGGGTTATGGGGTAACTCAATGTTTAACATTTTGAAGAACTGCCAGATTGGTTTCCAAAGTGATTGGGCCACAAGCCAAAGTGATTGGCCCACCGGCAACGTATGAGGTTTCTAACTCTCAGCGCCTTCGTCAACACTCACGTCTTTTTGATTCTAGTGCCATCCTAGGGGTAGGAAATGCGTCTCACTGTGGTTTTGATTTGCACTTCCCCAGTGATGGATGCTGCTGGCTTTCATGTGCTTATTGGCCACTTTATATGTTCTTTAGAGAAAAGTCTATTCAGATCTAAAGTTGGTTTTTAAAAACATGTCCTCCTTAATTACATGCACAAGTAATCTATATTCATTACCATATATTGCATCTTCCAAATGCATCTCCAGGTAACCGAGTGACTATAATCTGGCTTGTGAGATAAAGGTGGAAACTGTTGGGTGGATTCCTGAGAAAACTTTCTAGAAGAGAGAACGCTTCCCGGGAAGAACACTTTTTCTTTGCCCTTCTCACTCTTCCTGCTGGAGTGAATGAGATGGTTGTATCTCAAGCTTAACCTCCTGCGGCCTGGTGGGGTTTACACGCGCCACTGGCATCTTACGGTCACCACTTGGCCTGGAGTGGAAGTACTTGTTAACCACCTGTGTCATTCCTCAGGGGACTTGCTATGGCATTGAGGGCCCTTATCAAAACAGGTCTCCTGCCAAGGCCCGTCAAGTGACAAAAAAATGATCAAGTCTTTGACCCAGTGATCTCATTTCTGAAAGTAACACCAAAAGGAAAGGTTTAAAAGGGGGAGGAAAGGTACTTGGATAAAGGTCTTCATTGGTTAAACCAAACAAAAAGATGCTTTATAACCACTTTATTCACAACAATGAAATGCAGCCAGCCTACAACTGAGGAAGCATTTAACGTGCAGGAATCTGATGAACTATTAAGTGGCAATGGAGCTGCTTCAGAAATGTTAAATAGAAAAAAATGAATCAAATGCTATGTTTATGCTGGTTATACAACCCATAAAAATGCATGCAGATCATAACTGGAAGCAGAGACATAAAGTCCTGTTTGAAGGTGCAGATGCTGCTTTCAGAAAGGAGAATAAAGCACAGGTGCCCTACAGCGCCGTCCTCACACATGCCGCGACCTCAGAGGCCTGGGCCGGGAGGCAGGGTTTTCTGGTTTTCATCAACAACCCTGGACAATCATGAGGGACATGTTGGGGGGGAAGGGGACAGGGCAAGGGGAGTAAGAGCCAAGTGTCTTCAGCTACCCACTGAGTTCAAGCTCAAGGAAGCTTAACGTTCCAGCATGATAATGACCCAACAGAAAGGGAAGGCAGCGCACCCGAGAAAATGCCTACGACCAGCAACACTGGTTCTGAGCAGCTGCCCTTCCAGTTAGGGCCAACATGACACCAGACAGGTAATGGAGAAAGAAAGCTGCTTAAAATGAGGGTGCAGGGTCCCATTTCTGACCACTCCCATCACTGGACAAACACTGGGTGTGAACATATAGCTGCAGTATACACCAAGAGATCAAGCTAAGCCTTAGACAGCAACAGGTCAACACCAAGCCTGCTGATAGGTTTTCATTAAACATGTATTTCATTTGATTTTGACTCCTCCCTTTTCCTAAACAACGAGCTACACCAATCACTGTGTGTGTGAATACAGTATCTCGTACACATTTCACACATTAAGCTGGATGTTCAAATCCACACTAACAAAACACCTCACCATCAAACCAGCTTGCAAGGGCAGGTGAGAGAACCAGGTTCATTTTCTCTCAGCAGGCCAACAAATTAGCTTCAATTATCATCACTTACCTTAGCCACACAGTCTTACGTGAACTGCTTGACATACAACTGACCTAGTTCAATTGACTGGCTGAAAGAGAAAAGAGACACATATGGTGTGGCTACTCTATGTTTAATAACTGTAAAGACCAGTACCCAGCCCTGTTCCAAATTCTAAATTCTATCGCCTCATCTGTATGTCACAAGGTTGCTGAAAACTAGCCCCCGGGATACCTTGCGGCTTTAAGAGGAAACAGATGACTCCACGAGTCTTTGGCAAAGGTACTGCAGACATACACAGCTACAAGCTCATGTATATGGATTTCAAGTTTCTCCTCAGGGAATTTTGTGGGCAAACAAAATGATTTATTTAACCAATTCAAATGAACAGTATCAAAAATACACAGAGGTCTGAAGAGTATAATGAAAACAAATAACTCAAAGCTGCTTTGGATCCAAAACACTCCGCCTAGCTCTACAAAGACCTGGGCAAGGCATGGACACGCTTCTCCACAGGTTTCACCACTTCTTGCTCCCAAGTGAAAGTCAGACCAGTATCTTGAATGGTTACGTAGGCCTGGAAGAAGAGTTCACTACTAGGGGGTGACTGTCACAGCACAGTGCATGTGGTGACAGGTTGTCCAGAGCTGCGCTGAGCAGTCACAAGGGTCTCGTGCTTCTGAGATGTGGGTATGATTGAGAAAGTGCTTTTTTAATTTATTATTAATTTATTAATTTAAATTTAACCCCTGGTGGGCCTCCCCGGTGGCGCAGTGGTTGAGCGCTGGGTTGCGAAGCTGCCCGTGGCCTCTGCGGCGCCGGTTCGATCCCCGGCTGCTCCCTGGCCACCGGCGGAGGATCCCACATGGCGCGCAGACCTCTCCTGCCGCCTGCTCCCTCAGCAGTGTACTTCGGTCCTTCTGCCTGCTCTGGTCCCTGCTCTGGCTCTGGTGAATTCTCTCACCCTCCCGCGCTTCTGACTGTACCCAGTGCATGTATAAACAAAAAACAAACATAAATAAATAAAACATGCCTCTATTAAAAAAAAAAAAAAAAGAATAAAAAAAAAAAATATTTAAAATAAAAAAAATAAATTTAACCCCTGGTACTCCATCTAGTTATTGGCAAACTTTCAAATATGTCTAAGTGTGTTTGGAATAGCTTAGATATGCAAATCTACTTTTTCAACTGCATATTTTATGAAATATAAATAGAGCAAGTATTCCTGATGAAAATGTAGCCTCTAAATTGAGATGTGCTCTAAGTGGATACAACAGGTTTTGAAGATTTTGTGTGTAAAAAGAAAGGTAAAATATATCATTAATATTTTTTGTATATTAATACTAAACATTGAAATATTTTGGATATGCTGGACTGAGTATATCACAAAGTTAATCACACTTTTTTGTGTCCTAGGAGAATAGCTAGTTATGACACAGCCGGCTTTCCGGGATTTCCAGTAGCCAGAGCTGCTGGCATTAAGAACTCTGATGCCATCTGCTGGATACACTCATCTAACACAGGTGTTGAGAAACAATAAAACTGCATTAACACTTGAAAAGCTGGGTCTGAAACGTAAGAAGTTGGAACTGGGGCAACAAAACACTAAACTAAATGAGTACCATTAACAGGGGATTAGAAAGATTTATACATTCTCTGAAATCTTAGGAAAAAATCTGGCTTAGTTATTACTGAGTCAACGTGCAAACTGCTTGGCCACGCCCTGGCCAGCCACAAAGTTTGTTATTGGCCAGTCCATAACCACGGGTTCCTACTCCACGCCTACCGCTGCCTAATTGGGTTTCCTGCCCCTCCTCAATCCACCTCTCAAATCCTTCTGGCCTAACTTACAAACACCTCCTCTTCCCACCTTTCTCATGTTTCTTCCCTTTTTCCTACTGATTCTAGCGAATCTAGTAACTTTTCTTATTCCAATGTTTTTCTTCTCTACCTCTGTCCTACAAGTTGTCTCAGTTGGTTTTGTACTTCTATTTGGCCCTTTGATCCATTTTAAGATTTTTATGCAGGGGGTGAGGCAAAGGTCCAAATTCATTCTTTGCACATGGTAGTTAGTTGTTCCAGAATCTTCTAAGAGACTCTTCTTTCCCCATTGGATGGGATGGTACCAATATCGATAATCTGTTGACCACAGATGTGCAGATTTATTTCTGTACTCTATTTCATTGATCTATGTCTATCCTTATAGCAGTACCATATGTTTTGATTCCTGTAGCTCTGTAGTGAGTCTTGAAATCACCAAGTATGAGTCTTCCACCTGTAATCTTTCAAGATTGTTTCGGATATTCCTGGTACCTTGCAATTCCAAATGAATTTTAGGATCAGCTTGTCAATTTCTGCAAAAAATGCAACTGAAGTCAGTTGATTTTAATCTGTATGCTAGGTTATTTGCCTGATTAAGTTAAAAGAATGATCAGTATTAGAACTGGCAATGCTGCCCTCTGATCTGAAGTTAGCAGATTAAGTCTACAAAAATTTGGGTTTGTTTACTACTGCTTGATAGTGGGGCGACAAGACTGAAAGCAGAGAGTGCTGGAGAAAGCATGAGCCTGGAGCCAATAGGAGCCTGAACAAATGGCATCAAGTCCCACATGACCTGAGACAAACTTAAACCTTCTCTACTCTCCAGCTGTAATCTACGCCAGCAGGGGCACTGCCAACACTGCCACACTGTGCAGACCACACACACCACGAAAGCCCCCAGAGAGTGGGCATTTTCAGGCTCTGGGTGGCCATGCTCAGCTACAGAATCCAACCCTATTGGTCTGCGGGAAAACTACTGTTTGTCTGCAGCTGTAAAGAGGGACACTGAGGTGTGGCAGGCTGACGACGGGGACAGGACCTGGGCACAGGACGTCTCTCCAGACCTTTGTTCACTACACCCATTGTTAATGAAGGGAATACCTGCTCCTCACTTACGCCGGACCATGTCAGGTCCTAGTCAGGAGGCTGAGGCGACTCAGCTAGCTGAGAATGAGAAGGGCCAGAGTGGGAGCACAAGGAGCCAGGCTGAGCTGAAAAACTCACTCTTCTTGCTAAGGAGGAGCACTGTGGTCTCAGACCAGGCCAGGCGACCACCCCATGTACTCCAGTCATTCAACACATGCTTAATAACGCCCACTGTGCACGGGTAGTAGTTTCACCTAGGATGGATGGCAGTGAAAGTGAGTGACTTCAGTTTCTACCTCTCCAGATTATTAAGTTCTCATCCCTTGTCTTATCATCTCAAATGTTAAGGCTTAACAGTCCAGCAGCTTCGGGGGCCTGATGGAGAGCAGGTCACTTTACCTACTTTATCTAGGGCCCGCCATTTACCATGTTTGACAGGCACAAATCCCTCCAGACTCCAGTAACTGACCTGGAAGCTGGCTCCCTGGAAGAATGGTATCTACATATCAGAGTCTGCAAAAAGAAAAGCATGAAATCCTTTAAATCTGAGAGCACTGTGGGAGCAAATATGAAACAGATGAGGTTATAAGCTCCTCAGCATCAAATATTGGGCCATTTTTCTATACAGCTTATGCATGAATCCAAATAAAAGTCTCCATACCAATTAGAAAGAAATTAATAGCCAAGTGGCAAGAGCTCCCACAGTACCACTTACTTTCTTCCCTGCTGACAAATACAACTTGAAGTCTGTGCCTTCCAAAGAGAGCACAGAAAAGAAAGATACATTCAGCCCCGAAAGTTACTTTCCTTGCTGTGGGACAGGAAGGCCATCAACAACACAGACCCAACTCAGAATGTTTTTAAGTTCATGTTACTTGTTTATAATATGATATCATATCATCCAGAGTTTCAAAAGTGACCGGGGGGGCTTGTGGTGGGCTGCTGGGGGCAGGAGTAGCTGACGCATGTGCAGAGCTAGAGTTTAGGCTCTGGCCAGAGGGCTGCCCCGGGTCACTCAGTGCTGGTTCCGGTCTGCTCCACGTCTGGTTACTGAAAGAATTCGTTCTCTTTTGACCCACAAAGTAATCCGATGGTGGGGCAAACTCAGGATCTCTCTCAGCCCGGAGATCTGACTGCCTCTTCGACCAGTATCCAAAAGAAAATTCTAGTGAAAATGAGAAGAAGTGTTATTCGTACTGATTATTAAATAGGTTGAATTTTTATATTACTTTTTAATTATGTATTTCTTAAAAGTTACCTCCAATTCTATGGATAACAAGGATAGCAACACAAAGCTATAATACAAGGGGCACATAACAGCTACAAAAAGTGTAAGAAAAGGAAATGACCACTTCTAGATGGGTAAGATTCGAGGAAGGCGGGCCTCCCCTGGTGGCTCAGCAGTTGAGTGCTGGGCTGCGAAGCTGCCCGTAGCCTCTGCAGCGCCGGTTCGATCCCCGGCTGATCCCCGGCCACTGGAGGAGGGTCCCACATGGCACACAGACCTCTCCTGCGGCCCCCTGCTCCCCTCAGCAGTGTACTTCGGTCCTTCTGCCTGCTCTGCTCCCCGCTCTGGCTCTGGTGAATTCTCTCACCCTCCTGCACTTCTGACTGTACCCAGTGCTTGTATAAATAAATAAATAAATAAATCTTAAAAAAAAGATTTGAGAAAGGCTCTATGGAAAATCTTGATCTAGAGACATTGCTGAAAAGGCACTAAAATTACACCTGAGAGTAAAGGCAGGAAAAACCTAATACTCGAATCATTTGCTTGATGTGATTTTATCAGAACTTCACACCAAAACACAAATTTTGCCTTTTATTGAGTTCTGGAAGGGACCAGTCCAAACCTAATTTCTGCAGAGTATTTCACCTCTACTTCTCACAGTAACTCCAACTCAAGGCGCTTGCCTACCGGCTATCTTTTACTTAAGTGCCTTCTCTCACCAGTCTGAACTGCATGAGCTAATGTGCTACTAAAAGAGACATAAACCAGGGCCTTTTCCCAAGAGAGGCCACAGAAAAAGGAAATTTTTGCATAACTCAACAGAACCACATGTTAAATTCAAGTAAAATTCCAACATGCAGACAGCTTTTAACTGAGCACAAAAGAAAGTGATAAAAACACAGAACAAAAATAATATCAAATTTTAAAAAGCAGATACTGAGACACAGCATTCGAAAGTAGTAAGACTACAAGCAGCATGACTTCAGGAAACTTCACCCAAGTGCATCTAAGAAAGCCTGCTGACATGAAGGCTCCCAGATCCCGGTCTTCTGTAATCACATTTTGCAAAAGAGATGTATTAAAAAGAAATTAGGGATCTGGGGATGTGGAGAATTCCTTAAGCTGCAAAGGACCACAAAGATGCA